AAAATGAACAAACACTTGACATTTCCAATATGTCTTCATCTCATGCAAGAATTTTTAGATGCCATGAAGGAGTGTTATCTGCTTTGCCTTTAGATGGACAGGATTGTTAAATGTGTCCAAACCATCTCCTCTCCTACATTAGCAACACGGCTGGCGTGGAAAATAGATGTATAACCACATCATCAACATGCTTGTGTTTTGTACCGTGGGCTCTGCCCGTAATGAAGCCTGAACATGCAAGGCTAGAGCTATTTCAGCACAAGAGTGGAGCATTTTCATTAGAGAAATTAGCTGGAGCTGCTAAAGTACCTAGAAATCAGCTCACATTTACAAACCTACAGCAGATGCATCGCTTGGCAAAAAGATTTCTGCGGTGGGTAATTTGCTGTTCATCAGGGATTGCCTCTGAAATCTGTGATCCAAGCGAGGGTGCAGATGACACAGAAGGATAAATTTAGACATGGCTGAAAACAATTATTTTGATTAAGCCTCCAGCCAATGAGAGTCAGAGTCTTCCTCTTCCTCCCCTTCCCCCTCGCTCACCCCCTCCAGTGAAGGAGGAGGAGACTGGGTGAGTATAACTTATCTTCATTTTACATGCAGAGGATGTTTTGATTTAGCTCTCACTGTTGTAGTCTGCTCAACATAGTTGAGAGTGATTTTTTTTAATGACTATGACACCTTGCTTCAGGTTTAGGGTTGTTTGTTAGTATTGAAAAAGGTGCTGGAAGGGAAATACTGAATTTTTGTTTACCTGCAAAAGAGAGACCATATCGTTAAAATAAATTGGTTTCTCCCTGGCCTATCTTCCCACCAGGAGAAACCCTCAGACTGAGTGAGCTGTTTCTGTTGGGAAATACTCACTACTTTTTTGGGTCTAGTAGTAAAATGAACGTAGAGATTTCGATGAGATGTGGGGAAGAACTTGTTTGGTGTGAGGGTGGTGAGAGCCTGGCCCAGGTTGCCCAGAGAAGCTGTGGCTGCCCCATCCCTGGAGGGGTTCAAGGGCAGGTTGGAGGGGGCTTGGAGCAACCTGGTGTGGTGGGAGGTGTCCCTGCCCAGGGCAGGGGGTGGCACTGGGCGAGCTTTAAGGTCCCTTCAACCCAAACTATTCTATGATTCTAACTTTACAAATGTATTTAGTGTGGTTCCCAACCAGCAGTTGGAACAATCAGCCCTGGACCTAACTGGAAACCAGCAGCAAAGTGGTCACCTGGCCCTCTTGGCTCCTGAGCTGTTACTCTGTCATTCCAGCCTCTAACCATTCTGATAATTTTTCCCAGTTTTAGTGCAGCAGAGCTGTTTGTCCAATCTAGTGTGCAGGCGTAGTAACAGCAATGTAACTAGTCTTTTAAAAAAAAAGCATAATCACTAGTATCATTTAACCAATTAGAGCTATTTCATTAGAAGCAAAATGACATTAATCTTGGCTGGCACACTTGTATCTACTAAGCTGTGCTTTGCTGTGATCATAAATAGCCCTGCGGTTTGATTGGTTTGGGGTTTTTTTTCTAAAAAAAGAGATAAAAAGCCTTTTTTTTTTTTAACTGATTGTCTGTCTAGATGCCTTCACATTAAAGATTTAATTTTTTTATGAACAGTAGTTTCATTTGGGGTTGTGTCCCTGTGTGTGTAACGCCACCACCGCAGTAGCTGGAGGCTAGAAGATACGGGTGCCCTTAAGTTGTCTTGCAATTCCTTTTTTCCTCATTTCTTTTTCAGTGGGGATTTTAGGGGGGAGGTTATTTCTTGGCTGCTTAGTGTGGTTAGTGCTTCTGCTTGCGCTGTTGTTGTGTTGCAGAGGAGAAAGATGGCCAGAACTGGGGGTGGTTGGAAAATCGAGCTGAAAGTTTACAGTATTGCAACTTACAACCTATAATTGCAAAATAAAATAGCAAGCACTTCAGAAATAGGGAATTTTATCTTATTTACTCTATGGTAATTGTTGGCACTTGACTACAATCAGCTGCAAGCCCGTCTGTGATTGACAGCACAGTTCTAGCCAGAGCAACCAAAAATAGCCCAGCATTTGAGTAATTTTAGGCTTTTTATAATCTAATACTGTCACAAATAAAAGGCAGTGTAACATGTAGGCAAATTGAACTCTCTCCATAGGTACACTGGGGTAAATTGGGCGATGCTGTGGGAAGGCATACTAAGAAAGCACTGAATATATCTTACTTTAGCAATTCTTGCCCAGAAGTAAATAGGATTAGCTCCTTTTCTTTTTTTTTTTTTTTTGTTCATTAGCCTTAATATTTCTGAAATTAATGCCTAGAGTCCTGTTGGGGTAAAGAGGCTGCCAGAGGGAGGAGAGGGAAGGACCAGGATTGATCAAAAGCTCACTCATTCTCAGAGTGAGAAATAAATAAAATCCTTAGCTGATCTTTGTCAGAAAAGCCATTGAGCCCTCCCCTGCTGCTGGGCCAAACAAATTGGAAATAGCTGGAAATATCCTGCTGGAGCATTACTAGATACTGGTTTAATCTTTAGCTCTTGAGTTACCTCCTATGATTGATCCCCACAGCCTTGTTGAGAGAGGAAGAAAGAATTATTTCTCCAATATAGGATACAGAAGAAGGTCACCTTTTCCTGAAAGTCTCCAAGTTATTTTTAAGGCCTCTTCCTCGGAGAATTAGAGTTGTTGGGTCAAAGCCCTGGTGAATTCTTTTAGCTCCCCAGGACTACGGTAACATTAGTTATCAAATCTGCAGCATCAGAAACTTTTGCCTGACTATTTTTCCTTTATTACTAACTGCAGTTTTTATTTGGTACTTGTAGGCAGTGCTGTGCCTGTGGCAGATATTTTGGCAGCAAAGCACTGGATGAGGCAATAGATCTGCTTGTGGCTTTTTAGTAGTATATTTTTTTGAAAACCCTTTTAAGGCACTGTCTGTTTTGAGGACAGGCACAACAGTCAGGCTACATTAACTTGTCAAGTGGATTAGTCATTAAACACCTTTGTGGACGTTTTAATTCAGAATTAAAGTGGCTTTAATTGGATTTAGCTTGCTTTGCTTCCAAAGTAAATTCAGGTAAATCAAATTAAGGTTAATTCAGTGTAAATAGTGTGGGCAGACATCCTCGTTATGGGCTACGTGGAACAACTGAGCCCATCACTGCTCCTCGACACCCTCCTGCTCCCTGTGTCTTCCCGTGGTGTTCCACAGCCCAGCTCACAGAAAGGGCTGCTTCCTAGTCTCATAGAGAGATCTCGACAGGCTGGATGGATGGGCTGAGACCAACGGGATGAGGTTCAACAAGGCCAAGTGTCAAGTCCTGCACTTGGGTCCCACCAACCCCCTGCAGCGCTCCAGGCTGGGGGCAGAGTGGCTGGAGCTGCCGGGCAGAAAAGGACCTGGGGGTGTTGGTGGCCTGTGGGCTGAACAGGAGCCAGCAGTGTGCCCAGGTGGCCAAGAAGGCCACCAGCATCCTGGCCTGTGTCAGGAACAGCGTGGGGAGTAGGGCCCGAGAGGTGATTGTCCCCCTGTCCTGGGCACTGGTGAGGCCTCACCTCGAGTACTGTGTCCAGTTTTGGGCCCCCTACCATAAAAAAGACATTGAGGTGCTGGAGCGGGTCCAGAGAAGGGCGACAAAGCTGGTGAGGGGTCTGGAGAATAAGTCTTATGAGGAGAGGCTGAGGGAACTGGGGTTATTCAGCCTGGAGAAGAGGAGGCTGAGGGGAGACCTTATTGCTCTCTCCAACTCCCTGAAAGGAGGGTGTAGAGAGGTGGGGGTCGGTCTCTTCTCTCAAGTCACAGGCGACAGGACGAGAGGAAATGGCCTCAAGTTGCACCAGGGGAGGTTCAGGCTGGATATTAGGAAAAAATTTTTCACGGAAAGGGTTCTCAGGCATTGGAATGGGCTGCCCAGGGAGGGGGTTGAGGCCCCATCCCTGGAGGTGTTCAAAAGCCGGGTTGATGTAGTGCTGGGAGGTCTGGTTTAGTGATGATGCTCCTTGTTTGTTGTGTGGGTGTCTATTTTTGTCAGTTCGGTTGACGGTGGGACAAGATGATCTTTAAGGTCCCTTCCAACCTAGAAGATTCTGTGATTCTGTGATTACCTATGGGTTATTTCAGATTAATTCTGCTCACCTTAACGAGCAGTTTAGTCTGTTGGCTGGTGACAGGAACTGTGGTCATGTTGTACTTTGCTGACTCTGCAGTGGGTAGTTGTTGCTCTAACAAAGTAGCTTGGAAACTGATGAATGTATGGCCTCACCTGTAGAATACATGCCCTTGGGGTATGCTGAGGGTCCTTATTAAAGGATGATAGCACCTGAGGAGCAATACTCTTATATATACCAGAGAATCTTTGCAATTTTAGGGACTAGCTTCCGAATTTACAAAAGAAATATCAGGGGCAGCAAATTGAATACAGATAGGAACAGCAAACCAGCCAATAATTGCAGCTGCAGCCACCACGTCTTTGGAAGAACAAAAGAGATCCCATGAGCTATAACGTCACGGTTCAAGCTTGAGGTTGTTTCTTAAAGAACAAGTCTCTTAAAGGAGAGGGAATTTGCTTCCTAAATAACCAAGTGTCAATACTAAAGTAAAGGAAGGAGATGAGTTTGCTTAAATGGAACATCATCTCTGAAATGAGGTATGTTAGATCAAGCAGAAAATAATTAAAGTTGTTTTGAAGGCATTTTACTGATTTAAAAACAAAACAAAAGCCCAAACCACTGAATCTTAAAGAATACAGAATAAATTAGATCGTACTGTTTCCAGCTGTGACCATGCAATCTTCCATTCACCAAGCAGTGTTTGACTGAGTGAACACCCAGGTGACAGCTCTAACTAGAACTGCAGTGCTCAAGAAGGTGTCACTGATATAATGACCTGGCTTTTGTGGCTTGTGCTTCCTCTTTGATAAATGCTCACTAGATATTAATTGCCCCTCCTGTGATGGCAATGAATCTAATTCATTCATGATGATGAATTCACTTCCAGTAATCCAAATTGCTTCCATTTTTATACTTTTTTTTTTTTTTACAGGAAGCTTCTTATTTGCCAGATATTGACACCCTGCCTGGACCAGAAAGTATGAAAAATGAGGTGCTACTTATGAGCATTTGGCTGTCGAGTTGTGGCCAAGTAGCTCCGGTTCAGCGCCGGGGGCAGGAACCTGACCTGGAGCTGAGAGCAGCCAACATCTACCAGGCTTTGGTGGCCTGGCTTCTCTCCCTGGTGAGTACGTGCAGCCCCAAGTGCACCAAAGGAGGTTCTGTGTGATTAAAGCTGTGTGATTTTGCCCTCCACTGAATATATAATAATTCTTAAAATCTCCTTCTTCCAACGGCTACAAAACAGTGGCTGAACAAAGGGGGAAATATGTCCTGTCTCACCTTCAAGTCAATAAAGAAATGTCTTGAAGTCAAAGGGAGCTGGATTGTGCCTGTAGTTTACGAAGAACGGGGCACAGGAAGTAAAAAATTGTTGAGCCAGACTCACAGTAGTCAAAGGGACTACTGGAAATTGAGGGCTTTCTCTCTTTGTCCTTGGCAAAGGGGGCGAACAGACACAGGTGCCTATTTCTTACTGCTTGTTCTAATTAAGAACAGATCATTCTGGTAGTGAAGAGGGCTATAAACAAGTGGTGATTGATTTAATCTTAATTGTCCTTTGGATCACATATTTTTCCCCTCTCATGAAGCCACCTTTTCCTCACTCTTCCCATTCATCTCATATTAGCCTTTTCCCTAGGGAAAGCAGATGCTGTGTATTTTCCCTCCCCACCCTGCACGTTGGCCTCATTCTTCTCCCCTTTTCCCAAAGACATTGACCTACTGGTCCCAATCCATGCTCTCTGGGGAGACTTCAGCCTGAGCGGACAGCCTGCGTGAGGCTTTTAAATCACTTAAACTCCACTTAAACACTATTAATTGTTAATGATGGTCACACTTCCATGAAAACATTGCTACATTCTTAAATGTTAGTTCAGTGCTAATGAAAATTGCCGCTTGAACAGCCCCAGAGTCTGAACCTTCCATTCAGAAACTGGTTAGCTCGTGACCAGCTGCAGCTTGAGCTTTTTTCCCCTGTCTGTTATTGCTATGGAAAACAACCTGGGCTCTGACTCGTAGCAGCTCTCTCCAAGCCTGAAAGGGTATCTCAGCTTCCAGGGGTTGGTGTCACTCTGCTGAGACTGTAGGGTCAAATGTTGTGATGGACTCTATGCCCAAGAGAAATGGGTAAAATCCAGTTTCTCACACAGATTCTCAAACAGCTGTTGGATAGCAATGAAAAAGGTGGCATTTCTTTAATGAAAAAATGTTGAGGCATTTTTAGACCAAATTTTCATCTGGCCATAATCTCTGTAACTCCACTGATTTCCTGGCTCGTGTAAATGAGCATATCTTTATTGATTTAATTGGAGAGATGCTGATTTCTACCAGTTGAGAACGCTGTACTCCAGATACGAGCGTTCCCCAGTGATGGAGCTGCTACAGCATTTCCCATGTGAAACCCACGTTGGGAGCAGTCGAGGACTTGGCAGTGCTGTTTTGAGGGACACAGCTGCCCCAGCAACAGTTCAAAAGTCCACTCAGGCCCTGTGTTGAGAACATATTTCTAAAGGCGTTTATCTCGCTCTGAATAGTTTTGGTTTATACGTGCAATAAATAGCAGAGCTGTTAATCCATCTCGAGGTGGCGGCGATGGTATAAACCATGAGAACAAGACTTAGTGGTTTCTGTATTCTCCAGAGTCCTGGGAAGGAGTTACAGTGCTGTAATTCAAAGTCACCTCTCTCTTCATCCAGCGTGTGATCTGGTGTGCCCAGGTGGCCAAGAAAGCCACCAGCATCCTGGCCTGTGTCAGGAACAGCGTGGCGAGTAGGGCCCGAGAGGTGATTGTCCCCCTGTCCTGGGCACTGGTGAGGCCTCACCTCGAGTACTGTGTCCAGTTTTGGGCCCCCTACCATAAAAAAGACATTGAGGGGCTGGAGCGGGTCCAGAGAAGGGCGACAAAGCTGGTGAGGGGTCTGGAGAATAAGTCTTATGAGGAGCGGCTGAGGGAGCTGGGGGTGTTCAGCCTGGAGAAGAGGAGGCTGAGGGGAGACCTTATTGCTCTCTCCAACTCCCTGAAAGGAGGGTGTAGAGAGGTGGGGGTTGGTCTCTTTTCTCAAGTCACAGGCGACAGGACGAGAGGAAATGGCCTCAAGTTGCCCCAGGGGAGGTTCAGGCTGGATATTAGGAAAAATTTTTTCCCTGAAAGGGTTCTCAGCCCTTGGAATGGGCTGCCCAGGGAGGTGGTTGAGGCCCCATCCCTGGAGGTGTTCAAAAGACGGGTTGATGTGGTGCTGGGAGGTCTGGTTTAGTGATGATGCTCCTTGTTTGTTGTGTGGGTGTCTATTTTTGTCAGTGAGGTTGACGGTTGGACAAGATGATCTTTAAGGTCCCTTCCAACCTAGAAGATTCTGTGATTCTGTGGTTGGGGCATCTCTGCCTCGCGTGGCTGCTATTCCTTTCTCACAGCTTTGCTGGCTGCCTGGGTCTGACTTTCCCAGAGCCTTCTGCCCTCTTTCACCTGCTGCCTGGGTTTCAGGATGCTTTGCAGCACTACAAGGCCTTCCCAGTTTGTTCCAGGTATCTTCCCTATCTCTTTTCTACTCTGTAATAAAGTTCCTTGTGTATTCTGTGTGATAAAGCACATCACATTTCAGCCTGACTTTGAGCATCCTTATGAGCCGGTGAGTTCCTATCGGAGCCCTGTCTCTGGAACCAGACGATATTTAAGATCAAAGATGTCCAGTGTTCATCTTGGCGTTGGCAGGAGTTGCTTTTTACCTTTCATATTTTGGATCAGATATATATGTATTGGAAAATAGAACGTTTGCCTCCCACACACACGTGCGCGCACACAAAGTAATCAGCTCAGTCTAACTAAAAGGTGTATTCACCGGATAAGGATGGATGGGATTTTGGCTATAAGCAATCGCTAATAAGGAAGACAGAGGCTTATTAAGGAATCCTGCACTACCTCCTCGGAATGGCATAATCACTTAGCATTGATTTTTGAACCGAGATTGGATTGATCTCATTATCATTACTAAAGGCAGTGCCGGGTGCTGCTGTGACAGGAACACGCAGTGCAGCGCTCGCAGGGACTCTCCTCTCCTCTCCTGCTTGACTGGGGAACTACTGCACGTTCTTGCTTTCACGTAGTCAGACTGGTGGAAATCAGAGCTTGCAAGTCCTCATTGAGAAAATAAATCCTATGCTTTATCAAAACCTACATGTTATTCCTATTTAATTTGGTCTTTATTGATTTTTCTACTGGCTAAACCACAGCTAATCCACTAATCAAGCGAGAGTGCTCCCTGGATTATTTTACATTACGGGGCTCTACTCAAAAGCAACAGAGCAAGATAAAGGGTTATTTTCAGTCTCTAAATAGAGCCAGCTGAGAGTGAAATGATGTTCAAACGGTTTTGCAGGTGCCTCCTGTGAGAGTGAAAGCTGGACCCGAGGCTCCCTTTCGGGTGGTGGGGCTGCAGCAGGCCTGGCAGGAGGATGGCTTGGCCCTCTATGCTTGTCTGATGCCAGCAGATGAGTCTTCAGCCCAGAACAGCACCGAGGTCCAGAAGATAAATGTGAGTAGCAGCATTTCCACTTGCTGGTTGTGCACAACTGCCACGGGCAGCTTTTACAAAGAAAAACCCACTGGTTTTTAGGGAGGACCATTGGATGTGCCAATTCAAGCTCAAACCTCAGCGAGCCGGGGTAGAGCGGCGTGACTGCTGCTCTAAATTACAATGGGGGAGCATCCCGGTGCTGTGGGAACTGAAAGATTGCTTACAGCTAATTGCCAGCTCAAGCTGTCCTTGGTTATGCTGAATTTAGATTAACTTGCAGATGAGAAACCAGCTCTCTGTGGCGTAGCCTTTTGTCTCTGCTGCTCATTAGCTGTTAATGTATATTTTTGGTGGCTGTAACCCCACGGTGCAGAAATGTGACTGGATTCAGAGGGGGAATTATGGGTTTATGGGTTATTGGCAGGTATTGGGGATTTTGCTTTTCTACTTTAACCATGTGATGAGTGTGGCCAACAAGAGGGAATATTGTTTTGCTGTTTGGCTCCCTGGAGAAGGGACCTGAGACACCATTCCCTCAACTCTGGTAGACTCCGGAGGCTGTGCTGTGCAATAAAGCACCAAGCTGAAAGGTCTAGCACACAAGCTGAAAATCTCTCACGTGTAGGTGGCACGGTGTAATGTAGGGCATGACAAGAACATGTGTCCTGAAAACAGCAGAGCTATGAAATAGCAGCTCAGGGCCCTGCTTTGGCTCTGTCGTTTCACAGTGCTAATATGATACAGATTGGTGTCTCAGCATCTTCTGTTTTCATTTTTGAAGGCTATTTATTAGGTGTTCTTGCTACTTTTGCCTGCTATAAATCCCTATCCTGCCTGTGCAATGTAGCTGACTCTTGCTGGAAAATGGGCCCGGGTGTGTGTGGGGAGCAGTGATCCTCATGTACCCAAGATTTCCTGTGGGTCACCTGCTTGAATAACTGTCCTGTTATGGAATAACCTGTGAGCTGCTGGTCTGTCCTCTGTTGAGGTTGGTGAGTTTCTCTCAGGTGGTTCAAAGCAACACTTGTGGCTTTAGCGGGCTGATGGTGGATTTTCTGCTCTGGTTTTGCCTGCCTTGCCCCTGGTAATGGTAACAGGAAAGGGATGATACACGTGCTCGTTATCAACATTTCCTCTCTGCAGAAAAGACCCCGTAGGACCCAATAGCAGGTGATCTTAGGGGGAAAGCAGGTATGAGGCACACCTGCTGGCCACATCACGGGAAGTTTAAATGGAAGAGGAAGTGTAAACATGTTTTAAAAACACGCTTCCCCTGCCCAGCTGCAGTGAGCATCCTTCTCTTGCAGCTGCCTGCCTGTGAGCAGCAAAGATTAAATTTCCTGTGATGTATCATAAAGCCTGGAGTATGACAGCTGGGGCTCCGGCGCTCCTGCGAGCACATGATGGATGCTGCCAACAAATGTCCTGATTAAAACACCGCCAAAAGAACCCAACCCCGAAACAATAAGTAAACCTTCCCCTTAGTGTTTGAGCACCTGCTGGCAGGAGCAGGAGGGCTAATGAGCCCAAGCAGTCTGCTAGGCTGGGCAAGGCATTCATGTTGATTACTGTCTGAGGCAACTGAATTCAAGATGTTTGCTCTACGGAGCAAAAGAAGTGGAGGAACTGAAACTGGCCTGCCTCCTGTCCACTTGCCTTGTTGCTCTCTGATAATTTTGGCTTAATTAGTCAAAGCATCAAAATTACTGAGTGCTGACTATACTCAAAATCTATATCCACTGTCACGTCATCGAATGAACTTTTGAAGGTGTGGGCTCAGGCTGCTCTGAAGGTTTGGTTGGAGCTGGGAAGGGTTGTGTCAGGGGTTGGTGGAACAAGCCAGAGTTCCCAGTCTGCATATAAATTGTAAATGCTCTTCTCCTGCCCCGTTTATCATTGCTGACACTGCTCTTGAGGTCAGCAGAGAACATACAAGGCGTTTGGACGCTGCTCTTCAAAACAAGACTCTGTGTAACTGAGGTTTCCTGTCATTAGAGGCTCTACCCTATGTCTTGGTGGGAACAATGACTTTTGTGGATTTTGCTTTCCTGAGGCATTTGTAAAGCTGCTGCTTTCCCTGACAGAGATCTAAGCTGATAGGCACAACACAAGGCTTTCAGAAATGTCAGCCGCAGCAGGGATGAGGAAAACAACAGCAACCAGTCCTGTCTCCCCGTTCCTCCCCGTTTTTTGGAGAGAAATGTGGTAGATTTTTACTCTTCACACTTGAGTCTTTCATCTCTCACTGTAGTGTTAATGTACAGGTTTTTAATGGTTGAATCTGATCACTATATTCTGATGTGGCAATTACTGCTTCTTGTTCCAGTTGTCTCCTATAGGCAAGAAGAGAACCAGTTATCAGGGCTCACTTTCAAAATTTAACTGGGTTCTAGGCGTTTTTGTTGCATCTATTTGTTATGAGGGTGCAGGGAGATCTTAGTTACTTTTGGTTTAGTTTATTTTGTTGTTTGATATATTTTTTTCCCCCCAGTTGTTATTAACTGGAGCTGAGCTATGTTCCAGATCTTTGAGCCATCACCTTTTTATTTACTGGCCACTTCACTGTCATCTGTGTGTCTTTGATTGTTTGTCACATTTTATTTCACCATCCCAAGGTCTCTTGGTTTTGAATACAAATATAACAGTGGTTTCTCAAGGCACAAGCTGCTGTTCTTGGCAGATCAATAAGCCTTTTGACTTATTCAACTAGGATGGCATCTATTCCTCTATCAAGCGGTTCTGCTGTGTTTGCTCCCATTTTTGTCAGCTCAGTTGTGAATGCAAATATAACAGTGGTTTCTCAAGGCACAAGCTGCTGTTCTTGGCAGATCAATAAGCCTTTTGACTTATTCAACTAGGATGGCATCTATTCCTCTATCAAGCGGTTCTGCTGTGTTTGCTCCCATTTTTGTCAGCTTTTGGGGCTTTAGTTTCCTTTTTTACAATTTCTGTCCTCCTCCAAATGACTGATAGAAGCGAGGCGAGCTTGAACATCCCTGCGTGGTTTTGGTTTCCTTGACGTGCTGTCAGAACAAATGCTTGTAACGCTCACCTCGTGTAATTCCTGCGTGCTGAGAGACAGGCTGCCGTTCCGAGCGTGTCTGATGGGAATTAGATTTGTACAGAGTTTGCTTTCGAGGAATCTCCTAAGCATTCCCAATCAGGCACCCGAGCACTCTGCAGAGCCACCTAGTTCTTGTCTCTACCCTTCCGGCACTTAATTCTGTGGTGGCTCAGGAGACCTTGCACTCTCCATTATTAGATTTGGGGCTTTTTTTTTTGCAGACCTTTCCTGCCTGAGGTCTAATTTCTGGGTGCAATAATAGCTGCTGTAGAGAAGATGCTTTGCATAATTGGTGGTTCTGTTTATTTCTAATTGGGTGTTATTGAGGTCACCGGTTTTGTTCTCCAAAAGTCCTGCTAATTAAGAACCAACTTTGAAGAACGAAGGGAGTTAGAGGAGAGGTTAAATGATGGAAAACTGTAATTTAGCATTTTTTTGCAGACCTTTCCTGCCTGAGGTCTAATTTCTGGGTGCAATAATAGCTGCTGTAGAGAAGATGCTTTGCATAATTGGTGGTTCTGTTTATTTCTAATTGGGTCTTATTGAGGTCACCAGTTTTGTTCTCCAGAAGTCCTGCTAATTAAGAACCAACCTTGAAGAACGAAGGGAGTTAGAGGAAAGGTTAAATGATGGAAAACTGTAATTTAGCAGTTCAGTATTCAATATTAATGTATCGATATTAATATTAGTATCAATCTTTTTTAAACATCTTGAAATTAATAGATCTTTTCACTTATATCCCTATGAAACCCTTCGCGAATTCATGTTTCATTATATTGGGCTGTTATATGATCCTGTTTTCTCCCTCTGTCAGTATGGTGTGTAATATTTGTGGGCTGATGGATGTCAGGAGCCAGTTATTTTATACCAGTGTCTCGCAACCAGCCGAAGATTGCTATGAACTGGCCAGTCATCATCTGTGGTGGAGTTTTATAGTTCAGCAGCCCGTGTTGAGAAGAGCAATGGAAGAACAATGCTGCTTGTTTCTCCAGTGCTTTCAGCAAGGGGCACTTCGAGTTGAGCCTATATAGAGGCATGTCCCCAAGTCACGGAGGGAGCCCTTCCACACTTCTGATGGGCATAACTGACTGTTGAAATATCTGCTCTCCTGTCCCATGTCCTCAGTCAGGAACCCTGACAGTAATAGTCAGTAACCTTCAATTCTGTCTTTGATCCTGGGAGTAGAAACCCTGTGTGTCTCTACCAGGAGTGTGGAAGGAGCATGTTTTCTGTGGGTTAGTGGACGAGTTTTGGGCTCTGGTTGGGGGGATGTAGGGCGTGATGGTTTGGGAAGCTGAGGAGTGCTACGTTAGGGCTTTGGTTTGGAGGATCTGGAGTGTAGCTGTAGGGCAGGTGCATGAAGCAGCTGGGAGGGGTGCAGATGGCAAAAGACCTGCTACAAGTGCATGGTACGGAACAGAAAGCTCCTGAGGCCACCATCAATGCTTTTTAACCGTTGACTCTTTGCAGGCTAAAGAAGATCTACAAGGAACATCCACTTTTTACCAGAAGATTTCTGCATTTCTAGCCCATACACGGCTTCTGGATGTTCTCTGGTGGAGGGCAGAACTGGCCAATCGCTTCCAAAACCAGCCGTGTCCGCTTCTTCCTGAAATTCCCTCTGTCCTGCTCAGTTACATCGCTGCTGTTAATCCCCATCCTCAGGTACTGTACAGAAATGCTTGGACTTCTCTGATTTTTTTTTTTTTTTTTTTTTTGGTCTGGGGAAAGTTGTATCAGGTACTGTACAGAAATGCTTGGACTTCTCTGATTTTTTTTTTTTTTTTTTCTTATTAGGTCTGGTGAAAGTTGTTACTCTTCCAGGTATTCACATTTGCTTTAGCGAAGGATTTAAACAGAGTTTGAAAAGAATTGCTTCTAAGCTGTGTAGATTTCCACTGAAGTGTATGAGATGACAAGGACATCACACCTCTTAAAATCAAGTGCTTAAGATCACTTTGCCTACCTAACAACATCTGCAAGAGCATTCACCTCATGCTGCCTAGAAGTAGAATGATAATTAACTTTTCCACTTCTGTCAGGTTAGTGAGGGCTCCATAACAAAGATTCGAGTGAATGAAAAATTACAAGAATTCATTATACTTACTGAGTTTATTCCTTGAGGGCACCCAACGTTGCTTTTAGCCCTTTAACAGCCTGTCCTACCTCGGTGTAAATATTTAGACTGGGTTTTCAAAGAAGCACGGAATATGACCTGATTTCTGTACCTTTTGAGTGAATGTTCTTATTTCTTTCCTATGACATCACCAGCCTTTGGACAATCGTGGTCTTTCACTGATATTTCTAAATCAACCAAAACCTTGAGAAACGATTCCAGGGATCGGTGAAGACTGAAATTCTGGTTTCACCATGAAGTTTAGTTCTGAAAAATAACGCAGAAGAAGAATTTTTCTGCAATTTCTACCAGATTTGGGGATTACTCTTGCTCTGTGAGAATCAATGCCATGAAAGCTCAGGGGCTTAGCAGTGCACTTAGCAATTTGCCTAAAGGTTTATCCCCCTTCTGTGGAGGAAAAGGAGGCTTAATGCTGTTGATTTGCAGTCACTGGAGCTTTCAAGTAGAAGCAAGTGCTATAAAGCAGTCTGACGTACTTGTAAAAGATAAATCTGCTGTACACTTTTAAGGCATAAAATAAGGCATCATTTAAAACAGTCAGGGCTTTTATGCAAATCCCTTATTAGGGGAATTATAAATCATTAGAAACCGAGCAGTAAGATAGCAGGCACTTTCTGGGGGTGGATCTTTGCCTTGATGCCATAGAAAAGCCAGAGTGGATTTAAAGACCGCGTTCTCTTCCCCAGTTCAAATGCTCTGTGCCACCCGTGTTCCCAGGCCTGAATTACACCGAGACCACTGTGGATCATGGCTTTTTGATAGATGTATCTTGCAGCTATAAAGAAAGGCTGATCTCTCAAAGCAAGGCTCAATGAAGCAGGCTCTCAGCAGGCAGCAGCTAACCCTGTTGTCTGCCCTGAAGCTGTACAAAGTGATACCGACTGAGAATGTTCCCAAGTGTCATTAAAATACAACCACAAAGCCCTGCATAGAAAATTCAATATCATATTCTTTTAACTTCATTGATTTGAAGATTTTGTACAAGGCCAGTGATCCATGCTTTGCTTTTTTATATGTTTATATTTATTTTGAGGTGGTGCATACAGGACTAAGTAGAGGAAAGATCCTGCTACTACATGTTGGAAAATCATGTAGTGAATACCTATTTTTGTTGCAGGTAGTTTACAGTCTGGGCAAAAATCCTGACATGTTGATGAAACAAATGGGTAGGAGTGGAGGGAGAGGGAACATCGGGTAAAATTGCTGTCTGCTGGTGTGCTGACTAGCTCTGTGTATGATTTTATGAGCAATTGTTAGCACTAATTGTAATAACCTTTAAGTACATTGTTTGTTAGTGTATGAGCCAGTGTCGTGTTTGCAGTCAATTGTTCTAGTGCTTTTTTCAGTCTGTTCTGGACCCCAAACAGATTGTTTTTCTCTTGCTGTTTTTCCTTGAGGCTTTTTTTATGAATGTTATGCATACAGCCTATTAACCTGCAGTCATTTCACTTTTGATATGAAGAGTAAACTCACAATGCAGTCATTAACACCCCAGGTTAGGTTGGGAGTGACATAATCCCTCTGGAAGTTATTAACTCCGATGTCCTTGTCAGCAAAAAGAGGATTGCTTCGTTTTAACATAAAAGTACTTTCTCCTGTTAAGCTCTAGGATGGAAGCATTAACCTTAGGGCTATAGACAACCTACGTAGCCAGCGTTGGTGCTTCTTTTCCTGTTTTGTTCCATTCAGGCACACCGGATGGCTCTTGCTCTCTCTTGGTTGTTCTAGACACAGGGGCATTTGCCCAAAGGGGGCAACCTCTAATACTCACCAGCTTTTTGGTCTCCTCCCAGAGCATCTCCTTCAACTCCCAACCTATAGAGGTGCCTGCCATAGCAGAGGGGTCAGGGCACAGCAGTATTGCATGGGTGAGCATCTCAGCAAGCTGTCAAGGAAGAAGGGGAACCTCCACCCCTAAGTGAGGGGTCTGGACCACAAGTCTTGTGAGGAGAGGCTGAGGGAGCTGGGGGTGTTCAGCCTGGAGAAAAGGAGGCTGAGGGGAGACCTTCTCGCTCTCTCCAACTCTCTGAAAGGAGGGTGTAGCCGGGGGGGGTCGGTCTCTTCTCCCAAGGAACAGGTGATGGGACAAGAGGAAATGGCCTCAAGTTATGCCAGTGGAGGTTTAGGATGGATATTAAGAAAAATTTATTCACCCAAAGGGTTGTGAAGCCTTGGAAGAGGCTGCCCAGGGCAATGGTGGAGTCACCATCCCTGGAGGGATTTAACAGCCAGGCAGAGGTGGTGATGAGAGACGTGGGTCCGTGGTGGGTTTGGCAGTGTTGGGTTGATGGTTGGATGGGATGATCTTGAAGGTCCCTTTCAACCCAGATGATTCTATGAATGAGAGGTTTTTTTCTTTTCATTCCAGAAAATCAATTTTTGTTGCATGTCCTGGTGATCAGTCCCCTACTCGCTGCTCCTTTAGGTGGTTTCCCTGCTGATTTCCAGCCAGCACAAGGGTTGTGTTTTCTTTTTTAAGACAACAGTACTGTCCGAGGGCAGGTCTACACAAAGTTCCCTCCTCGCTTTTCAATTAAGCAAAGCTCCATTTATTTATTTTTAACACAGTTTTGCCTGAGCAAAGATAAGAATTTCAGAACTGGGTCCAGGGAGCCACATTTGCCCCAACGTTGTGACTCGATGCTGCCCAAACTTCAAACAGCGGAGACTGAACTAACAGGAAGTTTGATGTTTGGGTGGGGACTGGCAGAAAGTACACCCCTTCTTTAATGTGGTTGTTCAGAGTTTTGGGATTTCCCTGCTAGAGAGTTGCTGGCAACTGTGTTACCAGAGGAGCTCTACCTGTACGTCCACGTACACAAGGTTTGAAAGTGTCAAAGTTTCTTTCAGAGGCTGGAAGAACCTTGTAGCAGAAGAGCCATGTGTTGCTGATGGAACTAAAACTCACTGTTTCAAGCTGTGGAAAGTGCCCCAGATGTATCACTTGTTACTTTGTGCACTTAAGGCACTTAATTTAGATACCTGATTGCCCTGACTCTGTGTAATAGTGTCTGAAAAGGGGGTGAGAAACATTTCCAGAGGATCTTTCAGATCTGTGAATCTGTGTTTTAATTTGGGCTCTACAAGAAGACCGTGGGTTTTCAAGTTTGAATGCTGTGAGGTTATTTCTTTGACAAGCATCACGGCCTTAGCCCTGCTGGGTGGCTTCGGCATCTTCCCCTGTCTTTTACTATAACTTCTTTTAACTTCAATGCTAATGAGAAGCTTGTTCCAAGAACCACTACTTACTGCCACATCAGCTTTTCACCCAGCTCTCCTCAGGCCCGGGGCTGTGTGGGCATTGCCTTTCACACATCTCAAATGGTAATAACTGGTGGTACGCTGTGGTTCGGCACCTCACGGTGATGGCAATCGTGCTGGTTTGATTTGGGGTTATTTATTGCCCCGTGTGTTCTCTCTTTCTCCTCTCATGCTGTGTGAACAGAGGCAAACTTGCAGCTCTGAGCAGTACCTAAGCTTGGCCATGTGATGTTCTGTGGGTGGAGAGCACAGACGGAGCTACCTGGAGTGTGAGACAATTTGGCCAACTGTTAGACCTGCCCCACACATCACTGTGAGCTCTCAGGTTCAGTGTGTGGCTCAGGGCTGTGCTTTCCTCCTCCGAAGCTTCTGCTCGGCCTGATGCCAAAGCTAGAAAGACTTGATTCTTGTGTAGCTGAAACGGACATTGAGGAGGGATAAAACACCCAGAACAGCATCTCTGCATCTGCTTCCCCAACCAGACCCAGGTGGATGTTGAGATTTGCAGCACAGTGGGTGCCACCTGCTAAATCCACCAGCTCGACGGCTTGAAATCCAGGCTAAAGTTGGGAAACAGGAGGTTCAAAAGGACAGGTTCATCCTGCCCTTTGCTTTCCAGGTCTTGCTTGTGTCTTGTCTTTATCTGAGTTGGTGCTAAGGGTCAAGTCTCAAGTGTCTGGTGCCTTGAGTCTGCTGTGCAGCCTGGTAAGGTTTTTGGCAAGAGTGCATCATCTGACTGGTGATTCTGCGTGGACAGAACTTGTCTGTGGGTGACACATTAGTCCTGGGGCCTCATTTATATATTGAAATGAATCCATAGCTGCAGGCACAGAGTAGCTGCATGGCTGCATCTTCATGAGGCAGGAGGTAACACCCTGGCCTTAGTGGGGTGGTGTTGGAGATCATAACTGGTTTTAGTGGGGCCAGGAGTTCAGGCTGTCATTGGTATTTGTAACTAAAAAATCCCCTAACATTTAAAAGGAGAAAGGGTTACAATGGTGTCTACTGGAGCTGGCACAAAGATGATGGCATAGCTTCGGGAGGAATAAGCTATTATAGTTTGTTATTCTTCCTAAAATTTGATAGCTCACATTTAAATTGTGGCCACTGCTAATTATTCCAGAAAAGAGCAGCTTAAAAGAACTATCAAGTTAATGTGCTCAGCCATTGGTGTTGTGCATGATGGGCAGAAAGGGTGGAAGTTATTGTCTCATCCTTCCTCTTCTGTGTTTTACAATATCCCTTTCCCTATCCAGAAGGGGGGCAAGGGAAAGTGAGGAGCATCTTCAGACTCCCTGAAATACAGTCACCAGAATTGTGCATCTTCAGTAGCAGAGCTCTTAATTGGCCCTCTCTATCCCCAGTCTTTTTGCTGCCTGGGATCAATCATCCTACTGTGTTTCCACGTTTCCTACACTAAATTCTGGAGTCACCTGAAATGATGGGGAGGGAAGGTGTGCAGAAGGCAAACTCAAATTTGTATTAATCTGGATTCAGCAAGGAGTACTACACTGGGATTCACGACAGCAGGGAGACGAGAGACTTTGAGGATAATTCTGCCTAATTTAGGGCCTTGATTTGGTGAATCACATAAGATGTGAGCCTTCTCTGTGTGTTGCCATCGAGGCCTTCGCTGGAGTGAGACCAGCAATTCCTCTGGTGCTGCTGATGTGGTCAGCGGAGTTGAAAGGGAGAGGGTATTTCCATCCAGAATTTACAGTCTGTCTCTGGAGGTAGTGGAGGATACAACACCTTTCTCCAAGGGATTGGTGTGTTTTCTCACAGCTGAGCAGATCTTTGCCTTGGAAAGTACCTCGTGTGTGAGGAGATGAGATTGTGGAGCACAGAGAAATTCTTCCTGCAGCTTCTGTTTTCCTGCTGTGGCTGGGAAGTAGTCGAGAAGGCTCGCTGCAACTTAAAAGGCTCTCTTAGATCATCTGACAGCAGAAGTTATTTCTTTGTTGTTGGAAATGAGAACAGAATAGGCTGTAAGCAAGAAGAAGAGATGCTGGATTTGGTCCTATTTCCCTATGACAGTTAAAGATTCATGGCTTTGCTGCACGCAGCTCCAGTCTTCTCTAAATGTGCTTATTCTTGTTTCTGCTTGGTATTTTACAACACGTTTTTGTTCTGCTGAGAATTTCCTTCCCTTAACTGTCTGGCTTCATCTTGGTAATATTGTCTGAAACAAAGCAGTAGCTCTGGGTTTCTTTGTAAGGCTCTTTGGAAAAATGGTGTGTGTTCAGTCCTCACTATAGTACAAATCAGTCTTTTCTGGTGTCTTAAGGTAGCAGGAATCCAAATTTTGATCCCAAAACAAATAAGAAAAAGGATAATTGACAAAAAGGAATAACTACAAGTGGGAGGTTATGGCCATGCCCTCCCTTCCCGCCCTTTCTGGTTGTGGCAGTATGGATGAAGAGGATATCAGGGCTGTAAGAAACTCCACGTTCTTACAGCAGGGGGTGGAGGAGACACAGTCATGGAAATGGCTATGGTTGAATGATTCTGGGTTTTGAAGCCTGTCAAAGTATCCCTGGGGCTGCTGTTGGCTGACTCTGGGCAACTTTTCCTCCCTGCTATAACGCCTTTACCATGAGATGGGAGATTTTTACAGAGGTCTGAGGCTGCAGAGTCTTAGAGAAGCAGAATTTTCAGGTGGGTATGGCCAACTGGGCTTGCCTTTTCACCCTTCTGTGCAGCACATGGGGAGGGATTCTCCTCTTCTCCCCACCAAGAGCCAGGTCAGCGTTTGGAGATGATGTATCAGCTGTCCTGGAGAGACTTTCTCAACTGCTGGGTTTGCACAGAAGCTTTACAGCTACTGAAAAGTTGTTGGAGGCATAAGAGAGGAACCAGCCCTGAGATGAAACCAATACAATTCTCACACCTACCCTCTTTATTGTCTTGGAGCTTTAAAAGTAGCAGCAAAGGAGCATAAAAATAAATAGTGTCAAAAACACCAAAGTAATTTCAGTAAGAATAGGATCATGCAACTGCCTGCAGAGGGTCACTCTGTCAAATAGGGCTCAGCTCAATGTTGTACCAACTGACTGGGTGAAATTCACTCCTATGTGCATGGGAAAGTTGTTTTTCTTCCTGTTTATCCAGTGTGTTGCATAGGAAGGCAGTGTCAGGAGTTCTCCTCCATTGGCACACAGTTTCCAGTTTCCACACTGGAGAAAGCAGGAGCTGTCGTGCTGCAGCCATTGATGTGTCTTTTCTTACTCATGAGGAAAAGGATTTTCTAGGAGAACTATGACTTTTCAAGCTTCATTTTCTGTTGCTTTGTGAAATCACATTCAGGTTGGCTGCTAGAAAAAACAGAATCTGACAGATTACAGCAACAATTTTCCACAGACCTGAATTCCCTGTGAGCTGTGGCCAGATCCCTGCTGTGGCAGGGAGGGAGTCTGACCATGGGGCAGCGTTTCCTGGGATCACACCTTACTCTGTGGTGCTTCCTAAATCCTACTACCTTGGATTTCCTAACTGGCATCCTGTGTGTCCTAATGGGGGCTGGATACCTAAGGAAGGCTTTTAGGCGATGTAGGCTGGAGCTGATTTGACCATGTTTGTCCCTTCTCTTTTCCTTCTTCCTGAAAGTTCATAGGCTTGAGGTTTGTTCAAGGAACAGCTTGAATCCCAGAAGACCGGGGTCTTGCTGCATTCCCATTTTTGCAGGGCAGTCTGTGCTGGCTGTGTTGTGCCAGTATTGCATGGAGGAGCTGGCAGCAAAAATTGGAATCAGAGAACATCTTCTGTTTCCTTAAATCAACAATTTCTTGCTTTTCCTCTGATATTTTCCACAGCAACCAAGTGTAATATCACAAGTGGAGGCTGGTGACTGATGATTTTGCAGGAGAAAATGGACAGATCCATTGAGAGATGTCAGAGCTCTTGGTTTGGGGTAGTTGTGGTGACTGAAACTGGGTGAAAAGTGAAATCCCCAGTTCTTCTTTTAGGCAAATATCTCGCAAAGCACAGGAAATAGAGAAAGGAGAAAACACAAAAGGTTGCTGAAGTGAGCCTGGGGAGGCCCCATCTGGAGCAGTGGGTCCAAGCCTGGTGAGGCCCCACCTGGAGCAGTGGGTCCAGTTTTGGGCCCCCCAGTTCAAGAAGGACAGGGAACTGCTGGAGAGGGTACAGCAGAGGCTACAAAGATTCAGGCCCCCTAGTTCAAGAAGGACAGGGAACCACTGGAAAGAGTCCAACAGAGGGTTACGAAGATGATAAAGGGAATGGAACATTTCTCTTATGAGGAAAGGCCAAGAGACCTGGGTCTGTTTAGCCTGGAGAAGAGGGGATCTTATCAATGTTGCCCAGTGGTGCCAAGAAGAAATGGGCACAAACTTGAACATAAGAAGTTCCATCTCAACATGAGGAGGAACTTCTTTGCTGTGAGGGTGGCAGAGCCCTGGAAGAGGCTGCCCAGGGAGGTGGTGAAGTCTCCTTCTCTGGAGACGTTCAAACCCCACCTGGACACGTTCCTGTGGGACCTGCTCTGGGTGACCCTGCTCTGGCAGGGGGTTGGACTGGGTGATCTCCAGAGGTCCCTTCCAACCCCACATCACTCTGTCATTCTGTGAAGCATAAAGGCAGGTTTTAATATTATTCAGATTAATTTTGTTTTCTGGTTGTTGTGTTTAAACATTTGTGGAATGATAGGAAGTGCTTACTGTTTGCCAAGCAGTGCAAAAAAAAAATAATCTCTCAGGTGATTACACAATTAAACAGCATTGTATGTACCTCATAATCCAGAATGGATGCTTTGTGCAGTGCCAGTCCATTTTCTATCCGTAATAAAAGCCCTGATGAGACCATGCTGAAATGTAATTCCTTTTTTCTTTCTCGAAAAGGGTTGTCTGCAGGAGATGAGGACAGATTAACAGCTGCTGTGAAACAAAGTAGAGTCTTTAAAACCAGTGAAGCCACTCTGAGAGACTCCACCTGAGCCCCTGTCTCAAAAGTGATACTTGGGGTTGTTTGGTTTTTTGTTTGTTTGTTTTGAGGTGGGCTTTTTTCAGTCTTAGAATGAATCCTGCCCTATATGAGCTCTGCCTAAATTCATCCGTGTTTCTGGAATGCTCACTTGGGGCATAGCTACAAATGTCACTTCTTCCCAAAGCCTGGACTTGACAAAGAGGAGTTAAAAGCTGTGTTAGTTGCTGGACTGTGGCCTTGCTTACTGAGTGTGCAGTCACAGCGAATTCTCCTGAGTGACACATCCTTCAACTCCCACTTGCACAAGTTGCTTGCTTGGCTGCCCAGAAAAATGTAGGAGAAACAAAACAGGGTGCTGAGATTGGGAAATGCTGCACTTCTCTAAAGCTGTGACCTAAATGCCAGAGCCTTTTTGCCTCTCCGTGAGTACGTGGCACAATAGGACTTACGGATATGTGTCACTTGTGGTGACATGAGCACAGGAGAAATGTCCTATTTTGGTTACAGGTATGTAGAGAGTTCATGCAATTCTTTCCCTACCTTTCCGTTTGATTAGTTAATTAGAACGTTGCTCTAACAAAGCCCTTTTCCGCTGGATGCTCAGCGTGATGGTGGAGAATCAAGGTCTTGAGCTGCTCAGCCTGATCCTGCAGGGCCTTTTGCATTCAACTCCCGCTCCTGTCCGTGGGTCCTCCACGTGTGGGACAGTCCCTGGGTTGGACCCTGGGAGTGTTGAGTCTCTTGGGAAGCTGTTGGAGATTCATATTCTTGGGATATCGCTTAATTGGAGCTAGTGGTACAGTTGTAAGAAAGCAAATGTTGGATAACAGCACCAGACTAATGAGTTTGATCTGTTAATGGGACATGGTGTAGGGGATGACTTTGTAGAGTAGGGGAGATGGTTGGACTCGATGATCTCAAGGGTCTCTTCCAACCTAGACTATTCTATGATTCTATGTGCATCCTTATGTGCTCTCTAGCCATAAAATACTGTTTTTTCTAAGCCCTTTATTCTGAGGGCTCAAGCTAACACACAGGTAAGAGCTGTCCTTGGTGTGTTTCAGGCAGTGGAGAAGGTGTTTGCGGTGCCAGGTGGATTTTACTGGCAGACAGTCGAAACTGAGGAAAAATACTTCCCTAACGGCAGCGACATCCAGGCTTGCAGAGATACAGACACCGAGGTAAAGAAAACCAAAGAAACCACTCCTTTCTGAGCTGTGGGATGATGTGGGAAGTCGAGAGATGATGAAGTGACCCGGAATATTTCAATCTTGAGGTTTGGTACAAATACTGATCTTGAAGTATTTCTCGCTCAGACCTAAATACATCAGCTGAGTATTTTGTGTCATCGGTATTGATGTGCCGATTGCTCTGAGCCACAGAAGATTAAACGATGAAATGTGCAGGTTGAAGAAATTGCTACCAACCAGGTGCAAATCAGTAACAGTAGACAGAATTCTGATAACCCAAACCCACTTGACTGCAAGCCAATATGCAACACAAATTATTTTTCAGCTTGCACTCAGAAACATTCAAAAAGAATTGGGGAGTTTCTGGCGGTATCTGCCTGACCTACAGTAACTGTGTGTGTTGTATGAACAAGTAGGAAGTAATTCTACTTAGTTTGCCCCAGAAGATGAAAAGTTTAAGGTAATTTAAATTAGCTGATCTTTACCTGTGTTTAAGAAAGCATAGCAGAATGAAATGGACCTCCACCTGTGTGTGATAACTTTCTTCGCTCTTGTGCAATACAAACCCTCGTGTGTTTGATCTGCCAAGAGTTCAGTGCCCTGTTCTCACTGATTCAGGGAGATGCAGGTATGTTAAATTCCTCCTGAACACACAGCAAATCCCTGTTCTCACTGATTCAGGGATGCAGATATGTTAAATTCCTCCTGAACACACAGCAAACCTGACCAGTAGCTGAGAGTGTACCAGACTTGCTCCTGGAAGATGCTTGAAGTCCACAATTAGGAGCTGGAGATACTCGGTTGGTCAGGAGATGCTTCATGTCTTCATTACAGTTCCTTGGCTTGCCTCGGGAGTGCTGCTGGGGCTCCATCCAGACCTTCTCACAGCAAAAGTGGGATGGCAAGACAAGCCAGGACTGAGACAGGCAGGGCTGGTGGCCTCACTGTCACAGTGCAGTCCCGTGTTCCCCAGGCAAGAGGAGCAGAGCAGGGCCAGCTGATGGGTTGCAGTGACCGGGCCAGGCCAGAAAGGCAGGAGAGTGGCCAGAATCGGTGACACAGGACGCAGTGACCGGGCCAGGCCAGAAAGGCAAGTCAGCGGGTCAGGAGAGTGGCCAGAATCGGTGACACAGGAGCCTGGGCCAGGACATAGCTGTGACAAAGCTCTGATGGAGAGCAAAGCCAAGCACCTGGCTCCTAAGCAAAGGGGAGGAGGGCAGATACCAAGGTTCTTGATGCTGAAGCACTGCATTGTCAAAGCTGGCCCCGAGCCCAGGCAGCCGAGCCCTGGGGACTCTCAGAGCTGCTACAGAACAATACTGCCTTACTGGCTGCTGGCAATATTGGGTTAACATCAGGAGAGCCTGAGCTAGACAAACATAAAGAAATAGAGCTTTTATTCCTAATTAGACTACTTTTTTTATGATTTGAGTAAATTTATATCTTCATTTATCATGATGCTAGAAGCCTCATAATGTGTTTATGGGGGAGTAGCATTTCATTTAAAGTGTCCAACAGTGATGAATTCACTTGGCGTTCGCTGCAGCCATAAAGCATTGTCCTGCCTTACATCCAGGAGAACCAGGCACAAATTTGAGGCCAGATCAATCATGCTTGTCTGAGTTACAGCTGGACAATTTATTACACCCTGCACCACCACAACTTCCCATCGTAAAGCACCTGCTTTTTTGAAACAATATGTTCCTTCTGATGGGAAGATAATAGTCATTTGCTTCCCTTTTGGATATAGGCATTCAATAGGTGTTGATGTATGCCTTCCTATGTGTAAGAACGGGCTGAACTGGGTGAGTCTGGGAAAGGAGATTTCAAAATGTAAATTTGGGACATTAGCGGTGACGTGTCTGACTTTTGATATTATATTTTTTAATTTTGATTTTGGCACTTTTGTAGGTATAAAGAAACAACCAGTTGGTTTATTATTATTATTTAACCATCCTTCTGTAGTACCTGAAGTTTAACAGCAGGAGTGAGAGGCTTCAGTCTCTGCCCCAGAGAACTGGTGGGTTTTCACTAGCAGGTTTATGTGACAAAAGGCACAATTATATCAGCAGAAATAGATTCAATCATCATTATCACAGATAGTTATGATTCAATCTGAAGCGCAGAGCCTGCTGTGCTGAACTGCACGTAAACATTCAATAAAAGGCAGCCTCTTTGTAGCTCTTCCAGTGTAGATAAATCATGGGGACTAAAGGTGAGCAGCAGAGATACAGCTGTGTGCTTGTTGAGGGCTTGGAAACGTTTGGCTCATTCCTCCTGTGCTCTTGCCCTTCAGGTTGCCATGGTGCTGCTGTTTGAAACTCTCTTCCAAAGTCCCCTGGCCACCCATCACACCTTGGAGCTGGTACTTGGTTTGGGGCTGGATGTGTGTGGGCTCCGTCTGCTCTATCCCCAGCAGGACATGCTGCTCTCTAGCTCAGGTGAGTCCAGTTTGCCTTCAGAGGTTCCATCATGTGGTGATACGGAGGTGAAGGCAAAGATCTGTAAATATATGAAGGTGAAGAGTGATGTGGCGCTGTGGGCGTGGGGAGAGGCTGTCAGATCTATGTGAGTGTTGCTTTATCGGTTCCTGTATCCTCCCCAAAAGAAATGATAAAAGATCTTGGGCTGTTTCTTTCCTTCTGTTCCCAGTGTTGAACACCCACAAGTTGAATTTTTAACCCTTGACACAAAAAGTGTCCCAACCCACCTTCGTTACTGTTCTTTGCAGTGATCTTTCCCAGACTGCAGTGCCCAAAGCTCCAGGGTTAGACTCATTTGAGTTAAATTTACTCAATCAATTCTCACAGATTTTCCTGAAGTTTTAAGCTGCAGAAAATCCAGCCTCTCCCTTCCACTAGTTCTTACAGATTTTCCTGAATTTTTAGCTGCAGAAAATCCAGCCTCTCCCTTCCACAATTCCCCCCATCCCATTGCCTATGGGACTTCAGAAGCATGGGCAAAAGTCATGAACTAGTCATTCCATAGTTTGACTGATAAGCCATCACCAAAGTGTCACATTTGCCAATAGAAGATGGTCTGAGATGAGGGACCGACAATTCCCCCCATCCCATTGCCTATGGGACTTCAGAAGCACAGGCAAAAATAATGACCTAGCCATTCCATAATTTGACCGATAAGCCATCACCAGTGTCACATTTACCAATAGAAGATGGTCTGAGATGAGGGACCGAGAAGATAAGATGAACAAAAATGATATGGGCCTCTGAACTCAAATCACTCAGTCTCAAACATTAGACACCAATGGCTTCAAATATCGGGATGTTCCACTCAAGTCTTGATTTTCCATTTGTGAAATGGAGATAATGAAGCCCATCTTAAAGCATGTATGGAATATTATTGGTTGCTAATGCAATATAACCCTAGAGGAGGAGGGTGCGGAGTACAGCGGGTGCCTCTGCAGTACAGTGTGCCTGGTACTTTCTTTTAAGCTGAGAAGTTCTCCTGGAAGGTTTGTATGTGCCAGCAGCAGGAATACAGGCAGTCCATTTCCCTTGGGAAAAGGGCACAGGCAGGCTGAGAGTGAGAGAAATGGGGTTTCCTTTTCCTCACACAGAAGGTGAGCGAAAACCAGCTTAATTGGAGAAAAATTCTTCCGTCTCCCTGCCCCCTTTTTTCCACTTGAAAACAATAGGAGCCGACTGCCTTAGAAATGGGGTTGCAGCTGGAGCTGGCTCAGCGCTGCGCACGTAATACATTCCTAGTGATAGCTGGAGAAATGAAGAAGGACTCCAGAAATGAGTAAGAAAACCATAAAATCACCAGTCATTAGGAGATGACAGGCAGCAGATCTGCTCCGATGCTCTGTACCCCGCACCATTATTTAGGAACATTTCAGATGAAGAGACAATTCATTTGAGCCGCAAACTGCGATGTGAGTTTGTAAATTAGATTTTTACCCTTAGCTTGAAAACTTTCAAATGATTATTTTAAATATTTACAGCCGGTTTCTCCATTATCTACCTGCTCTGGAGACTTACGTTCTGGCTTCTGATTCTTATGCAACAAATGATGTAATTGAATGTGTTTTTAAACCTCGGGGAAGAAAACGACACGCTTTGCTTCTTTTTCTAGCATCTGCAGTAAGAACTGTGGAGGAGCCAAACTTGTTCTTTTTCTGGGGTTATATATTAGACCCCAACCACGCTGACAGTAGACACGGAGACAAATTTGCCAGAGGCACAAGGAAGAGTTGTTGCAGGAAATGAGGGAAGCCACAGTTCAAGTCCTGGCAGGGGAATAAGGGCAGCTAATCAAATCTTTGCCTGGCTGTGTCATCCTGCAACAGAGCACAAACTCTCTATTTGATGCGGAAGGAAATAATCTAGAAAAGAAGTCCACGAATTTCCAATTTGTGATCCCCTTCCCAGTTTTCCCATTTCTGATGGAAATTACAGAAAACATCCCTCTCCTCAGGCCTGTGTTTTCCTGTCTCGCCTTCAATACCCCCACCATCCTTGTGGGCATGAGCAACATCCTGCAGAGGAATTTAAAGTGCTGATTTCTAGTGGATTGGCCAAAAGAAGTCCACAAATTTCCAATTTGTGATCCCCTTCCCAGTTTTCCCATTTCTGATGGAAATTACAGAAAACATCCCTCTCCTCAGGCCTGTGTTTTCCTGTCTCGCCTTCAATACCCCCACCATCCTTGTGGGCATGAGCAACATCCTGCAGAGGAATTTAAAGTGCTGATTTCTAGTGGATTGGCCGCTTTCTAGTAACTAGCCCTGGGCACACTCCTTTCCACAGCAAATATGAGGCAACCAGCTCCTTTTTCTTTACCTTGAATAATCTCAGATTTACTCCTGGGTGAACGCACGCAGCTGGTTGCCACCATGTCACCCACAGGACGGGCAACCAGCATCCTGGCCTGTATCAGGAACAGCGTGGGGAGTAGGGCCCGAGAGGTGATTGTCCCCCTGTACTGGGCACTGGTGAGGCCTCACCTTGAGTACTGTGTCCAGTTTTGGGCCCCCTACCATAAAAAAGACATTGAGGGGCTGGAGCGGGTCCAGAGAAGGGCGACAAAGCTGGTGAGGGGTCTGGAGAATAAGTCTTATGAGGAGAGGCTGAGGGAGCTGGGGTTATTCAGCCTGGAGAAGAGGAGGCTGAGGGGAGACCTTCTTGCTCTCTCCAACTCCCTGAAAGGAGGGTGTAGAGAGGTGGGGGTCGGTCTCTTCTCTCAAGTCACAGGCGACAGGACAAGAGGAAATGGCCTCAAGTTGCCCCAGGGGAGGTTCAGGCTGGATATTAGGAAAATTTTTTTCCCTGAAAGGGTTCTCAGCCATTGGAATGGGCTGCCCAGGGAGGTGGTTGAGGCCCCATCCCTGGAGGTGTTCAAAAGACAGGTTGATGTAGTGCTGGGAGGTCTGGTTTAGTGATGATGCTCCTTGTTTGTTGTGGGGGTGTCTATTTTTGTCAGTTGGGTTGATGGTTGGACAAGATGATCTTTAAGGTCCCTTCCAACCTAGAAGATTCTGTGATTCTGTTATTTTGGCTAAGGCTGAAAAGGACACTTGAGTGTGGAATGAGTGACCTTGGGGCAGGTTCTTCCATTTTTTACTCACACATATGTTTGTCTTTCACAGAAAAACTGCCTTCTTCCTATACTTCAAAGGCTGGTGAGGTGCCACCAGTGCTGGCACTGGGCGTGAGGGGGCCGAAAGCCCGCAGCACCTTGCAGAATGTCATGGGGCCATCTGACCCCCAGCTGGCCAGCGTGACAGACTGTGCTTCCATCAACGCCATCTACTGCAGGAGCCAAGAGGAACCTCTTCTCTACCTGCCCCACCTGGAGACTCGTGTGCACAGGGAGCTGTGCCTCTGGTTTGGAGGGAGAGCTGCTGCTGCAGCACCGTGGGCTGGTGTCCTAGATCCGGCTTCCCAGCGCGACAGCACAGCAAGGTGATGGCCCTGGTGGCTGCTTTCACAGGCAAAATGTGGCACACAGCCAGTGTCCTTTGTCTCTGCTTATCAACCTTCTTCTAAAGGTCTCAGTGAGCAAAAGTGCAGGGTGGGAGCAATGTGTCTGCTTTTATATTTCCAAACCAGTCACTAGAGTCTGCAAAAGTCCTGTCTCATGTCATAGATGTTTCAAGGTGTTGGGGGCTCCTGCAGATGTTTCCCATCACTTGTTCCCTGGTAGCTAGGTCTGTAATTCATACACTTGCAGCACCAGGGGCCCTCTAAAACATCTGGTCAGACTGATCTGAGACCTCCTCCAGCTGTGCTTGGTGCTGGAGGAGTGTGTGCCACTGAGTAGCCCTCTGCTAGAAAGCTTTGCCCTATGTCCCTTCCCTATCAACTGAGCAGAGATGAGGGGCTTCAGGTGGAAAAGGTGCTTTGGAGGATGGTGACAGAAGAGTGTGAAAATGAAGGGTGGCTTATAAACTTTGAACTCTAGGAAACAGCATAAGAAATGCAATTTAGGAACTGATGGCATGGCGACTTTGAACTCTAGCATAAGAAAACAGCATAAGAAATGCAATTTAGGAACTGATGGCATGGCGAAAGGGATCCAAAAAGTGCTGGGAACAAGTGATATTCAGGAGGCTGGAATCTTGCTCTCAGGTGGGTCTGGGTATGGCTGCAGAGGGAACTGGGCTTTTAAGCATCTATGAATCCATCATGGAACCCACACCATCTGTGCTCTGCTGTGTGGTGCTCCAAGGAGAGGAGCTGCAGCTCCCAAAGACTCCCTGATACTGTCTTGGACAGAAATGGATTTATCTAATGATTTTTAATCTTTAACCTGGTTTATAACACTGACGTTAGGCTGCCTTGCTCAGCAGAGCAGAGGTGTGTGAGGGAAAGGAGATGGTGGCAGGGAGCAGAGCTGTGGAAGTCAGCCCTGAGCAGCCCTTGCACAGCACCCACACCTGCAGAGAGGCAGAGGGAAGGCTGGGTCACAGCCGGGACTCTCTAGCACTCCTTCCCAGCACTCTCTTCCCAAACCTCCCTGTGGCTTTTCCTTGATGAAGATGAGTACTTTCTACAACACAAACCCATCAATTCCACGAAGGGCCAAGGAGGTGCTGGGAGGGCTGGAGCCCCTCTGCTGGGAGGACAGGCTGAGAGAGCTGGGGGGCTCAGCCTGGAGAAGAGAAGGCTCCAGGGAGACCTTGGAGCCCCTTCCAGTCCCTCAAGGGGCTCCAGGAGAGATGGGGAGGGACTCTGGATGAGGGAGGGGAGCCCTAGGAGGAGGGGGAAGGGTTGGACCCTGCAAGAGGGGAGATGGAGCTGAGCTGTGGGGAAGAACTTGTTTGGTGGGAGGGTGGTGAGAGCCTGGCCCAGGTTGTCCCGAGAAGCTGTGGCTGCCCCATCCCTGGAGGGGTTGAAGGGCAGGTTGGAGGGGGCTTGGAGCAACGTGGTGTGGTGGGAGGTGTCCCTGCCCAGGGCAGGGGGTGGGACTGGGTGGTCTTTCTAGGTCCCTTCCAACTCAAAGCATTCTATGATTCCCTTCCTGACAATTCTGCAACTTCCTGGACAGAGACTCAAACCTAAGGACACAGGAAGCACTTTAATCCCGTGTGTGTAAATGAAGGGCTCTGCACTCCGAGGTTCCTTTTCCTCTGGAGGATCAGACTGTCCTGCAGAGGGAAGAAAAGAGACACTTATCTTTTTTTGGCTGCCGAAAGACACCCCTGTGGTTGTTCCAAGTTCTGTAATTTGAAGCATTTATTTTACAGTACTTTATAAAAGATTTGGCATAGGGCTTCAAGGAATTTCCACCAACCAGGAGAATACCAAACTATTTATCTCTTCTCCCTGGCATGTTTGTCACACAGACACACAATCACACAGGATGCAACCCTCTGCACTGGGCTTTTCAGGCCTTTTAATATATTTTCCTTATAGTTTTTAATATCCTTTTAATATTGCTGAACTGAATAGGTGATGCTGGGGTGAAACTCCCCAGCAGAAAGCTCAGACAAAGCCCTGCGAAGTTCTGGATGGGTTTTTAAAGCTCCTTTCTGACCCTGGCTGCTGGGTGCAGCGTGTTACACCGTGTCAGCAGCAGCAGCTGGGGGTGAGGTGTCTGTGCTCCTGTCCTTGCTTTCGGCAGAGGGCAACCATGTAAAATTGACCTGATGCTCGTGGAGGTGGTTGTGTGTCAGGGTTTAGTTCTGCTGAGCCACGAGCAGTGACTCTCACCACTGAAAATTTGAAAAAAAAAAAAATCAATTTGGCAAAGTTTCGTTATCTTTGTTTGTTTTCCTCAGGTATGCTTTTTCCCTCTTACAAAGATGATGAATTCTGCTCCTCTGGTATAACTTAGCCCATCCAGCGCGGCGCTGCATTCTAAATAATGCACTTGTCTTTCTCCTAATGCTGGTAATTTGGTCCATGGGGAGGCAAGAACACAAACTGCACCTCGGATGGCAGTTTTCAGATTATACTTGCAAACGCCGTGGTCTCCTGGGAGGCGAGGAGCAGGATGTGTTCCAGCCAGCTCTGTGGTGGTGAAGGATGAGAGACAGGCAGGTTTGCCTGAGTCAAACCCTTCCACAGGCTGCAGTTTGCCTTTCTGTCAGTCCCTGGCTCTCAGAACCACACTTGATGTTCCCCGTGCTGTGATTTGGTCCTTCTGGGTATGTTGTGGAGGTTTCACTGCTGTGAACATCTCTGCCAGGCTTGGTTGTGCTTGTTGCCCAACACGAACCTTTAAAAACGGGTTAAATTCTGGCTGAAGAACCAGGAGTGAATACAGCAGTGATGTATCCGTGGGTAGGAAAAGCTCTGGGATTGAAGCCTGATGTATTTCTTGATTCTCAGATTTTTTTGCCAAGCTCGCTACTTTGCATTAGCTGCTTTTAATTGAACACAGAGAGCCTCAGGGGAAGTAATATAAAAAGATGTTCAGTCAGAGAGACCTTGATGCAGCTCGTGTCATGGACAGGGGATTGAAATAGGTTTTCCAGTAAAGCAGTTTCACCAGCGATGCTTCTGTGGCCCTGGGTTTGTTGCGGAAAGGAGGTTTGAGTCAGAACCTGGCATAACAGCTTTTAATATTTATTGTTTTTCTTTAGCTCTCAGAGTCCTTCATCACCTGGGGCAGAAGCAGATGAAGAAAAGGTCGATCTCCAAGGCATGGTGCTGTCTCGACCTCCAGCGATGCTTGTCGCAACGACCAAAGGTCAGTGTTAGAAAATGAATCTTGAGGTTTTATGCTTCCCCTTCGCTGACAATGTTACCTGACTCCAGCCCTCTCCCATTTGAGGAAATCCTGCCTCCCTGGACTGCTCAATGCTGTGACCTGCCTGGTTTTAGAGCTGGGAAAGAATTTCTAGTGAAACACCGTTGCCTAAAATGAAGTGACGGAGAAATGTTATCACCTCACCCTCCTCATGGGAGTAGCTGCAGGAGTCCTGTAGGATGCTTAGATTTCACTGAAGGGCAAAAAAAAACGGGGGGAAAACCCCATAAAACAACAAAAAAACCACCTCACAAGAAATCTCTGCACACAGGGGCCTGTTGACCAAAGAAACAGTTGTGTGAAGACTAACAGTGTCCTTAAACTACATGTTTATCTGGTTAGAGATCATCTGCCTCTGCTGGTGAGGAGTTGAATATAATCATCGTGGATATGAAATGGTCAAGACTCCATTCAGGGCAGGACTCACCATTCAATCAGAAAACACTTGGTGGGGCTAATATTCACTGGCTATCACCTGGCTCTGCCCAAATCCCTCTTTTCCCTTTGTAGGAGTAGTTTTCCAGGTTCTGAATTCATACGTGGCAGCAGGGACTGTCTGTGTTCACGGGAAACCTGCCGAGGCGCGAGGCCTTACACCGGGCTGAGAAGGATCCGTGTGGTGTCGGGGTGTCTCCTGTAGAAAAGCCAACGTGCTGACAGTCCCAGCACATCTCAGGCACGAGCAATTTTCAGACAATGCTATCAGAGCATTGCTGTCTGGTTTCTACTCCCACAACTGAGCATAGTTTCACAGGGGAAGAAAAAAAAAAACAGAAAACACTTGATGGGGCTTATATTCACTGGCTATCACCTGGCTCTGCCCAAATCCCTCTTTTCCCTTTGTAGGAGTAGTTTTCCAGGTTCTGAATTCATACGTGGCAGCAGGGACTGTCTGTGTTCACGGGAAACCTGCCGAGGCGCGAGGCCTTACACCGGGCTGAGAAGGATCCGTGTGGTGTCGGGGTGTCTCCTGTAGAAAAGCCAACGTGCTGACAGTCCCAGCACATCTCAGGCACGAGCAATTTTCAGACAATGCTATCAGAGCATTGCTGTCTGGTTTCTACTCCCACAACTGAGCATAGTTTCACAGGGGAAGAAAAAAAAAAACCAAAAAACTGAGGGGAGTGGAAGCTCAGCAGCTGTTGGGGAGAAGGTGGCAGAAGGAAAGCAGGATCGTACTGACAAGAGAAAGAAGGCATGAAAAATTATGGGAAAAATTGCCAAAGAATGTATGAGGAAAGAATGAAAGCATAAGCCAAAAAGATGAAGGGAACAGAAAGTGACAGAAAGAAAAGGGAGAAAGGAAAAAAAAAAAGCTCTCACCTTTGAGATACGCTCTTCTAACTCGTATAACTGGGCATGTTAACTCAGGTAGCTTGGCAGCCAGCCATTGGCTCTGCGTATTTGGGACTGGTATTGATGGCAGCTGGTTGCTGCTGATGGAATGAGTCACATTTTCTGCCTCCCCTTCCTTTTATGGCCACTAATGATTCACATTTGCTGTGGGCTGCTGAGTTACACCACACCACGTTCCATCTGTATTTGGGCTCAGGAAGTCACTTTCACGCTTTGCTCCTCAGAGAGAGAACTGGATCATGACTCTTGGAAGAGAAATTGAAAATCTGGTCTGGGAGCAGATGCCCCATGGGGTCTTAAGGAAAGGAAACATTCACTGACTCCTTCCTTCAGGTCTCCGGCAGTTTCTCCTGGAGATGGGAAGATACACTCATGCAGAGGATTTAGAACAAATATACTGCTAATCCCACCAGATAGATCTGCCTCTTCTCAGTAATCAAAGTTTTGCTGACCTGAGCAGGTATTCTGGTTGATTTGGGATACGTGCATGTGAAAAATATATCTATAGAAGTTTTATCAACTAGAGAGGAACCAAAATTGTGCCCCGTCCTTAGTAATAAACACAAGCTTTCCCTTGGTTTATTGCCATTGCTTGGAACTACCAGGCTGAGCCTTGGGGGGGGCAGATATTCATATCATAAAGTCTAGAACCAAAAGAAACGTTCACTGCTGATAGTCCCACTCCCAAAACCAAGTGTAGTCGGGCCACAGAGATTAAAATACTCCAACCTCATTATATATTCACAGTTAGAGCTAAGAGAAATTAATGGGGCAGTGTAGAAGAAACCCATCTAGAAGTGATGCTGAGGATTTGTCTTCAGAGCTCCCTCTTGGCAGATTAGGGAGACCTGAATGTACCTTGTGTACAGAAAAAAAGCTGTATTAGTACTAGGACAGTGTAATAATGAAGGTGATGGTAAAAGCAGAGACCCGATAGAAGATTAGAATGAAGCAGAGACCTCGGGTAGATCAGAGGCTTCAGGGAAAAGTCTTGAGCTTGTCCTGTAGAACTTAAGATGGGGCATAGACACTGCTCAGGAGGTCTTGTAGGCTCTTTCTCCTGAGCCTGCTCATAGCACGTGTTGCCACCCTGTTGGCGGTGAGCTTGGGGTTTGGCTTAGGAAACAGGATTCAAAAAGCCCAAGGTTCTAGCCCAAAGTAAATCCTGTTGCTTCTACAACCTTATCTACTGGGATAAGGGATACAAGGAGAGCACGAGCAGCAAGACCTAGTGGATAAGAATGAGGTAGGAGAAAGCAGGCTGGTACCATTATCATGATGACCAAAGACAGAAGATACCAAACCTAAGAGTGAGGTGAAATCACGATCACAGGCTGGCCCAAAGATTGAGGAGCCCAGGCCACAAGGCAAGCTCTGGGATGAAGGTTAAAGACAAGAGGAAGCAGGAGGAGGGGGAAGGGTTTGGGCCTGGAAGAGGGGAGATGGAGCTGAGATGTGGGGAAGAACTTGTTTGGTGTGAGGGTGGTGAGAGCCTGGCCCAGGTTGCCCCGAGCAGCTGTGGCTGCCCCATCCCTGGAGGGGTTCAAGGGCAGGTTGGATGGGGCTTGGAGCAACGTGGTGTGGTGGGAGGTGTCCCTGGCCAGGGCTGGGCATGGGACCAGGTAGTCTTTAAGGTCCCTTCCAACCCATTCTATAAGATTGTAGAAGCTGGTTATAGCCTAGGGCCAACTGATTTAATAACCCAGCAGTGTGGCCAGGCTCATCAGCTCCTTAGCCCCTGAGGGCACTGGTGGCTGTGGGACTGCCAGCTGTAAGGTGACAGCTCAGAGACAGCCCAGGAAGGAGTGACACACAGCTGGCACATGAGCCACAAGACAGATGCCTCACAGAGAGATGAATAGCTCATAGATAGCTTGATAGACCTGATGAGACAGACCATCCGGGGTAGATGATTCATAAAGATATTGCTGATGATGCCATAAGCTTTTCCGTTCTAGGTTGGCCTCTGATAGCAGCCATTATGAGCTGGATAGAGCAAACAGACCATAAAATATGGTGTCACCAGTTGGGATGTGCTTCAAGTTGGAACTAGCCCCTGCCTTGCATCGATACCACAAATTCTGTGGAAATAACACGCTGCTTTTCTTACTTTCTTTTTGATCTAGGAGACATAGTTCTGGTGGTGTCGCCTGCGGTGTCTCCTCACGCCTACGGTGACGTGATCTCGGTCTGTACCCGGCGGGGGTTTCTTCTGCAAGGAGTCAGACGGGTGCAGCTTTCCCCCCAGCAAGGCCTTGAGCTGAGCATGACAACGAGCCAGGTACTGGGTGGGACACCCAGCACAGTCGTGCACCTTGGGCTACTGGTTGTTCTGCAACTAAGGACCTCGTGACCTTATGGATGCGTGAGCCCACACTCCTCCAGTAAACGTTCTCAAGGACACTCAGCCTCTCTTTGTCGTTCAGCCAGCACCCCTGTTCTCTCTTTTCCCATGAGTGGTGGCTTTCAGTGCTGTTTTTTTTCTTTAGGAGGAAAATTCCATCAGGCCTCAGCCTCTCACTGAAAGCAGAAATATAAATTCACTATCTGGCCTCCTCCTAGTAAGGCAAATGTGAATTTTACCATTGATCTCAAAATAAACAAGAGCAGGCAGTAGCCACATAAACCAAAACAACAATTTCTGATCTGCAAACGTGTATTCAGAAGAATAACCTCCATCTATTTTGATGTTTGATTATGTATTTCGCTGCCCCTCTGGGACGGCTTGTGGCTTTTCAGCATGAAGTCCCCTGGTTTAATATATTCCAGATGGGTTGCAAAAAGAGCTTTCCTATTGTCAGAAATAATAACTTTTTTCTCTAAAGCTCTAACATGATGATAGATTTGGGTTAAGAGTGCAGTTGGCATTTTGACAAGTCAGCCTAGCCACAAACCTAAGATTTCAGTCAAACTTAACATATGTAAGAAGTCCAGTTCTGCACTTACATGTTAAATCACCCGGGAATCATGTGACACTTTCCCTTCCAAATTAGTGGATCCTTTCCTTTAAATTATCATTCTTAGGGCATGATTTGTTGTGTCCATCAGGAAACGCATCGTTTTGCAAATGAAACTGTGTACAAAGCCCCTCTTTTCTCCTTGTTCTGTCATCAAGCCTGTGGAATAGCACTGTCTCTGCCCAGAATATTTTGTAGAATAAACAGAACTGGTTAATGGAATATTACAGCCCGAATAGCCAAATATTTGGAGCATGCTCCTAAATGGCCATTTAAGAAGTTAATGGCAGCAAATATTGCTTCAGTGTGCTGTTTGGAGCTAAATGTTTCTAAAAAACCATCCCTCCCTTTGGGACTCAAGATCATTTTGGTCTGAGTGGCTTCGGATGGTACCACATCAGCTGAGTTGTAACTTTGTGCATTTAGTCCAGCCCAGTTGCAGGGTGGAATATTTTAATGTTAAGCCTCTTCCCTGAGGTTTAAATTAAGTTTTCTGTCTCATGAATAGATGACACATGAACACCTAGTGATGGGAGGCTACTGTGGTCAGCTGATGAGCTTTATCTCATTTCGCCACCGTAACTTAATTATTTGTTTGAGCCCTATAGTGATTGCAGTCTATTCTGCAGAGTCTAATCTGGCCCTCGTTATTTCAGATTTACTGTCAGCTGGTGAGCTTTATCTAATTTCGCCACTGTAACTTAATTATTTATTTGAGCCCTATAGTGATTGCAGCTGGATTTAGAGTCTAATCTGGCCCTCGTTATTTCAGATTGCTGTGTTTTGCCCGAGCAAGATTTCAAGTTCACCTGGTAGTTCTGCAGGAGGAGAGCTCTCTGCTGACCCACGCCTGCACTGTCTCCTTCTGCTGCTGAGAAAGGAGAATGCTGCTCATCACCTTCCTGCCTTGGCAAAAGGTAACGCTTTCGCTGCACAACAGCCTCAGAAAAGAACATTTTAGTTTCAGTGTGTGTGAGCTCAACATTCACAGTGGAACCACAGCTGTTACATTGTGGGGATAGGTTTATTGAGAGTATCAGGGCCTGATAATTTTGCTGTACGTATCTCCAGACCGACGTGTAAATCGGTCACTACTATATACCCAACAGAGCAGGTTGGTCTTTGTCAGGGAGACCTTATCAATGCCTACAAGTATCTCAAGGGAGGGTTGAAGGAGGAGGGAGCCAGACTCTTTTCAGTGGTTCCCAGTGAGAGGACGAGGGGCAACGGGCACAAGTTGGAACATAAGAGGTTCCACTCAAATATGAGGAGAAACTTCTTCACAGTGAGGGTGACAGAGCCCTGGAACAGGCTGCCCAGGGAGGGTGTGGAGTCCCCTTCCTTGGAGATTTTCAAGACCCGCCTGGATGCTCCTGAGTAACATGCTCTGACAAGCTCTAGGCAATCCTGCTTCAGCAGGGGAGTTGGACTGGATGATCTCTATGGTCCCTTCCAACTCTAAAATTCAGTGAAATTCAGTTGTTTGATCTTTAGCACTGGAGCCCTCTTGAACTTGGAATCGTGGAGTAATTCACGGTGGAAAGGACCTCAGAAGGTCTCTCACCAGATGTCCTGCTCAACACAGCATCAGCAATGAATTCAGATCAGGATGCTCAGGGATTTTTTCAGTCAGGTCTTGAAAATCTGCCAGGATGGAAGTTCCCCCACTTCTCTGGGCCTTTGTTCCAATGCTTGACCATCTGGTTTTCCTTTATGTCAAGTTGGAACCTTCCCTGTTTGAATTTGTCAGCCTTGTCTCTTGGCTTCCCACTGTACTCCTCCACAATGGTCCTGGCTTCATCACCTCAATAAACTCCTTTTATTGCACAGAGAGGTTGGGTGGTAAAAATATATCTGTGTCCCTGAAGCTGAGGACAGCACCTTGACCCTATCAGCCTCTGCCCAGAGTTCTGCATACTTGTGACTTCCAAGCATCTGAACTGTAACTCATTTTCTATGTAGGGACTGCCAAAAACCAGACAAGTTGCTGCCCCAAATCTTTTTACCTGAGTCGGACTCTGTTCTGAGGCTCTAGTTCAGGAAAAGCGGTATTTAGTTTTCTTAAGGATGAGCTGACGTTGGTCTCACAAGCAACAGCAGTGACCAGGAGGGGAGAAAGAACTCACCCTTCCTGCTCTGGCAGTTGCCTGCAGCAGGAGAATCTGTTCCTGCATCTGTTTTCCTGTGACATCCCCTTCGGACTGAGAGAAGAAGATGGCTGGTGCTGACCTCTCCATTAACACCACCACAAATAGCTCCTGCTGGAGACATTCATCCCCTGCCCGACTGCTTCCTTTAATCTACCCGCAATAGAAAAGAACATTTAGAAGTTTGGGAGAGAAAAAAAAAAAAAAAGACAATTCAAAAAGTCCTCTGCTTTTTCTCCCGAGACTATCACAGAATGTTCTGAAAACATGTACAGACACAGTGGATTAATCATGGCAGCCTAATTGCAGCACCGTGTCACCTGCTGCCTGTAGACCCAAGGAAAGTTGCTCATTAAAGAAGTAGAGTTTCTGCTGCTTTTCTTGCAGAGGCCACAGATGATGTTTATGGTGTTTGTGTCTTGCACGGGGAAATTTCCACTAGAAGTACATAGGCAGGCACCAGAACAAAAGATATTCCAGAAAAGTAGCATGTTTTCTGCCATGGTAGAGAGCTTGGGTTTTTTTCCTTTGTGGACAGATTTTGCAGGTGCCTCTCTCCATGTGTTCTGTGGTTGCTTCAGAACCGATCCAGAGAGATACCTTACTCCATATTCCAGAGCCCTGGAGAGGGGAAGCTGATGTTATTACCACATAAGCTTTGGTTTGGCCTCTGGGAATCAAAGAATTACAGAGTGATATGGGGTTGGAAGGGGCCTCTGGAGATCATCCAGTCCAACCCCCTGCCAGAGCAGGTCCACCCAGAGCAGGTCGCACAGGAACGTGTCCAGGTGGGGTTTGAATGTCTCCAGAGAAGGAGACTCCACCACCTCCCTGGGCAGCCTCTTCCAGGGCTCTGCCACCCTCACAGCAAAGAAGTTCCTCATTCTGTTGAGATGGAACTTCCTGTGTTCAAGTTTGTGCCCGTACCCTCTTGTCCTGTCCCTGGGGACCACTGAAAAAAGACTGGCCCCATCCTCCTGACACCCACCCTTTAAGTATTTATAGGTGTTGATCAGATCCCCCCTCAGTCTTCTCCAGACTAAACAGACCCAAGTCCCTCAGCCTTTCCTCACCAGAGAGATGCTCCAGGCCCCTCATCATCTCTGTAGCCCTCTGCTGTCCCCTCTCCAGCAGTTCCCTGTCCTTCTTGAACTGGGGAGCCCAGAACTGGACCCAGTGCTTGAGATAGAACCTCACAGGGGCAGAGCAGAGGGGGAGGATAACTTCCCTTGTCCTGCTGGCCACGCTCTTCCTGACGGAAGGTCCCAGGAAGCATAGAATAGTGCTAGGATTTGAGCAGGATAAATACCCCACTAAGAAGTTAACTTCCCTTGTCCTCCTGGCCACGCTCTTCCTGACGGAAGGTCCCAGGAAGCATAGAATAGTGCTAGGATTTGAGCAGGATAAATACCCCACTAAGAAGTTTTGCATTTGTAACCAATACCCCTGAAAAGCAGTTCCCCCTTCAAGGTCTTGAACACTATTCAGTTTTCAGAACAAGGAAAAATCCAACAGTCGTTCCTGAAACGGAACAAATAAGTGTCTTTGGGTGGTGGGTGGATCTCTATCTTGAGGATCAAACACCGTACATTTTTATCCAAGCTTTATCTTATCCAAGCTTTACCTTTTGCCATGCCTCAAGTTTGAATAGCAGCAGGTCATGTTGCTGTGGCAGCAGTGGCACATGGATTGGTTGCTCGTGCCACCTGAGTTTTGGAAAGCAGATAGGTGATTGTCAGCAGCACGAGCTCAAATCTCTTGTCAGGGCTAGGTTTGACGTCTAAGGTTTGCCACCAGCCTCCAGCGCTAATAATCCATTTCCCCTGATACACTACAGTGAATTTTTGACAGGCTTGTGTGGTAGAAAAGCAATCAAATGTATACGAAGTGATTTAAAAAAATAACAAGCGGTTCAAACTGTGGTGTGAAATATTATTACAGGAGGCTAAAGCGATTGTTGTGGAAGTGTCGTGTAAGCAGTGCCTGGGCACAGCCCAGCCTTCTGGAGGAAAAATGGGAGCTGTGAGATTGCTAGTTCTGAGCACTTAGTGTCTGTGAAAGTGGCGTGGAATCGGATGTTTTCCAGACTGGGAGTTACATGAGCAGAACATGATGTTTCTGCTCAGGTCTGTAGCCTGACGTTGCCTCTGTGGCCACGTGGGGCCTAGTCAGATGGAGGACACCTTGAGGTGTAAGACACCTGGAGGGGCTGTGCTTGAGCACTGGGCTCAGGATTTGTGACTCCTCTTCCTTGGGGACACCAGCTTATTTAAGACACTTATAATTCAAGAGCTGTGTAGTATCTTCTGTGCTTTTGTTCCACGTTTCAGTTCACAGTAGGAGTTAGGAGGTAACAGAAACAACTGGGGAGCTGGTCACAAAGCAGAGTTGTCCACTAGAGAAAGCTGTGGTGAAGCCTCAATTTTCAACAGCTCCTCACCCCACCATAAATAAATATAATTTGGGAGAGAGGGGATGACTGAGTTGCATTTCAAGGACTTTTTACCAGGGAGTGGAGTGATAGGATGCGAGGGAAGGGTTTTAAACTTAAAGAGGGGAGATCTAGATGGGATCTGGGGAAGAACTTGTTTGGTGTGAGGGTGGTGAGAGCCTGGCCCAGGTTGTCCCGAGAAGCTGTGGCTGCCCCATCCCTGGAGGGGTTCAAGGGCAGGTTGGAGGGGGCTTGGAGCAACGTGGTGTGGTGGGAGGTGTCCCTGCCCAGGGCAGGGGGTGGCACTGGGTGGGCTTTAAGGTCCCTTCCAACCCAAAGCATTCATGATAGAACAGTGTTTTCATATCAGACTGCAGCAGAGCTCTGTATTTCTCATCTTTTCTCTCCTTCTGCACACAGGACTGACAGGGGAACTGGCCAAGCAAGGCCTTCTTGGCAACGAGCAGAGCAGCCAGCCCGACCCCGCTGCCTGCTTCCACGGGGCTCCTTACACCGAGGCCTTGATGGAGACACTGGGTACGGCAAACCTACAGGAAACGCATTATTCTGGCTTTTATTATAAGGTCTGAACTACCTAATTGGGAGGTTTTCCTCAATAGGAACATTAGGAATATGCTTGTTGTCTATAATAACTCGTTTAGTGTTCCGCTGTGCGTCAATCATGGTAACTCTAATTAGATGTCTTCTGTTGATGGGTAATGAGTGGAAGAATCAGTAGGAAAATGAAATGGAAATACCTTTTCTAAGTAAATTTAAAAACATGTGGAAAAATAAATTATTTAAATATGACATGATAACAATCAATTAAGCCTTAAACCTACCATAATTAAAAGATTAATATCCAATCAATACATATTTATTGCCATGGTTTCAAGAGAAGTCAAAATGAGGTAAATTGGTTGTTAAGCACATAAAACTGCAGTTTGCTGAAGGGATAAGTGTTGGCAGTTGTAGTTCTTCTGTAGGTGCAGAGAAGGCACTTTGTCATTTCATGGTACTCAGATATTCTTAATTTTAGTTTACACAGTTGAATTCACTTCAGTAAGTCATTCATTCAGAGCTGGGAAATGGATAGGACTTGAAAAAGCAAGTGAATGTGTTTTGTGTTATAAATCCGTGACTCAAATGGGTAGGACAGTCTTAAACCTAATGGTTCCATGCACTGGGGGGTGATGGTAGTCAGGTGGTTATTTCACTAGCTACAGGTAGTGTTTTCTTATGTATTCAGCAGGTTAATATAGTGTTATTTAACTAATTAGATTACTTTCAATTTGGGATATCAGGATTTTTAGTTGCAGTATATTGCTCTCCAAACCAAATTCACACTAAACCCTAAGGAAAAATAATAATCAAATGCATGTCATCAGCCGTTTTCTGCATTAGAAATGTTAAGGTGTAGGAACAACTAAGTAAATAAATGTTAATCTGTACAATTGCTTAAATAATCGTGTAGTGAAATGGTATGCAATTAAACACAGATCTTTGCTGGGCCAGGGGTTCTGTGGATTGTTCTGTTCCCAGTAGGATATATGCATGGTATTGGAAGAGTCCTCACTTCAGCCCTCAGCTGTGTGTGGTGCAACCAGCTAGAAATCAAAATGAAATATCAACTTAATACGAAGCCAGTCATTAGTTATCAATCTAAAATTGATGCCTTAAATAACTTTGATACAGATCTGCCAACTCTGCTTAATGGTGTGAATAAGGATATCAAAATTAGGATTGAATAGATTGGCTTTACATGGCAAAAAGTAGTTCCAGATAATGAGTGTGACTAATTAGTAAGGGTTTGCTGTGATGCCGCTCCTCACACGTGATTCTCTCTCTGGCCCTGCTGAGCCCAGCGTGAGCAGCAGCGTCGCAGTGGGGGCACTTTGGCTGCTCAGTTGGGAATTAGGCAATTCCTTCCCACTAAAAAAGGCTTTATAATTTTTGTGGGGTAACTAGTTCTGTTTTGATGATCTCCCTGAGTAGGAGGAGACTTCAGTGTGGTGCCAGACCCCCGTAACATCCTTCTGCATCTTTTCTGCAATCGAACGTACGCTTCCGATCCCGACATGGAGCAAGTTGTCATGCTGGCAGTGGTTGGAATGGAGGCCATGAAGAGTGCTGGAGACCTCCTTCACCACATCCTTCTTCCTGGGGGCAATAATCCATCTCAGAGTGCAGGTGATCCCAGCTCTTGGGGAGGGATGGAGAAGTTGGTTAGGAAAGTTTATCCTGTCCAGCTATTTTTATTATAGAATGGTTTGGGTTGGAAGGGACCTTAAAGACTACCTGGGCCCATGCCCTGCCCTGGGCAGGGACACCTCCCACCACACCAGGTTGCTCCAAGCCCCCTCCAACCTGCCCTTGAACCCCTCCAGGGATGGGGCAGCCACAGCTTCTTGGGGCAACCTGGGCCAGGCTCTCACCACCCTCACACCAAACAAGTTCTGCCTGAAATTTCATCTCAATCTCCCCTCTTTCAGTTTAAACCCTTTCCCCTTGTCCTACAGCTTTGCTCCCTGATAAAGAGGAACATAAAATAACAGGAACATAAAGAAAAACGTGGTGAGAGGGGCCTTGGGAAGGAGAACGTTTTTATTTACCCACCTGCCTAAAGATCTGAGGAGTTTATTGTGGCTAGTTAGTCATGGGCAAGGCCAGTTTTCATTATGCAAACAGCACAGGTGGGCATACTTTTCTTCAGAGAGTGGCAAATTAGTTCAACGATCTGCTTAGGCTTTGCTAAGCCTTTTGTGTGAGCCAGACTCTCCCTAAGTAGGGGGAAATAAAGCAGCTTCGTAATTGGGGGCGTTGTGTCTCTCCCTAAGCAGGGGGAAATAAAGCAGCTTCGTAATTGGGGCACAGCCCCAGGAATTCAGAAGTCACAGACACGATTCTGTCCGCTGACATCCTTTGTGCTCAGAAGCAAGATGCTTCACGCTCCGTTTCCTCCTGCGCAGGGGAGGAAGAACAACACTGTTACCCCTTTAAAGGCTCCCAAACGCCTGAGGAGTGCTGTCAAGTGCTAAGCAGGATGATGATTTTATATAATTTCATGCTACAGATCACATGGAAGTGTAATGATACAGGAGATGTACAAACAGAGGGCAGAAGTCCTGCACTCTGACTCGTAGGATGTTGTATCCTGTTCTCTTGGAAGGACACCAGGGAGTAAGTTCTGTGTCACAGTAAGAGAGAAGGAGATTCCAGCTTATAGAAACTTCCAGCAACACACAGTCGTGGATGGAGCCCCTAAATACCTTGCTACGTTGGAAGTAGGGCTACTTTACAAACACAACAACATTTAAACTACTTTAGAGACGAGGCAGAGTTAAATTGTAGCTTATTACTATAATGAATATAGCTTAAAATGGAATGTTATGAGAGGTGGTAAAGGATCTATAATTATGGATTATTCTGTGTCAAACCACATTGTTATCAGTGTATTCTCAGTGTTTCCCTTTCAGCTTTCCTCCATTAGCTGTGTTCTCTAATCAAATCATGGCACTTATTCTCTGTGGCTCCCTGTTGAGTTCCCAGATAGCCCATTTTTTTTTGTTTTCTCTGTAATGTAATTTCCTAGCACTTGTGTATTGTGGTTTTTCCCAGTATATTTCTGTATCTGCATTACAGTCCATTTTGGATGCAACGGGGGGCAAAGTCAAAGCAGCTTTGGAACTTCTTGTCTGTTAAAAAAAAAAAATCAATGTGAATTTAGAGCAGTTGTCTCCCAAAGAAAACCCAGCTCTATGAAAGCCGTGCTGTCAACTGATGCTAAACAGCTTTCTCTTGACTTGCAGAAGGACCTGATTCAGGATTCGAGCTCCTGGGTCTCAAGTGGTTGCCCCGTCTCACTGGACGTCAGGCCAGAGAAATAACCCCTTTTGAGGTTGGGGACACTTCCTGGAGAAGGAGCCTTGATGTTCTGATGTCAAACCCCGTCCTCGTGTGCGCGTTGCGGCGGGTCGACGCCTTCGGAGCTCTTGCAGACACGTTGAAGAGATTAGCACAGCACAGGGAGAAGCTAAGCCAAAGTGAAAGTCTTCTACAGACAGTAATGGCCTTGACCCCAGAGGTGACATTCAGACAAGCTGCCCTTTTCTTCACAGAGACTGATTTTGTAACTGGTAAGACATGTTTTTACTGTTTATAATGTCCTCAGCTTTGGGAATATATGTAACTTGGACAAAGGAATCCGTTCCTATGGGTGTTTCTCAGGCACAGAAAAGCTTAATAATTTGGGGTTACATTCTGTGCTTGGCTGAATAATGATGAGGGATCTTAAATCAGTAGGAGCCAGTTGAGATCATCTACAAGTTGGCCTATTAATTTAGTGTAGCTGTGCATGGCCTGGGGACCTTTCTGAAGATCTCAAGGTGCTCCATAGATACTAAATAGACATTTCAGCAATTGGTGGGACCAGTAAATAACACTATGGATTTTGTCTCTGTAGGTAAGAGAAACTGGGAAACAGAGGTTAAGATCTGTCCTAATTTGACCTAATTGTGGTGCCTGACTTATTGGGGTTGGCTGCCCTGACCTCGCCCCTGTACCCGGGGAGAGGAAGGTACTGCCATCTGTGAGAGCTGAAGAAAGCAGATTTCTTGAGAATTCCTTTTTATCCTAGAAGAGAAGGAAGAGGTCATGAGGAACGGAGACCTTTGTTGTCAAAAGCTTCTCATACGTCAGTGATATGTCCTACCCTTGATCTTTCAGAGTAGAAAACCTGCTGTTTTCCTGCTGGAGCAAAAAATGTACCCGCTAAATCACTGTGCGCACTGCGGCGCTGCTGGGGTTGGGTGGTTTGGAGCAGCAGAGTACGAGCTCCTGCTGTTTTCTTCTAATATGAAATACATTGGTGTGTCCCCTCCGTTCTTGGGGAAGCCTTGCACCTAAAGATAAACAGTTCTAAGCCCACCAAGTTCTGATTGTAGTTCTCTGTACTGGGCACTGGTGAGGCCTCACCTCGAGGGCTGTGTTCAGTTCTGGGCCCCTCACTACAGGAAAGACATTGAGGTGCTGGAGCGTGTCCAGAGGAGAGCCACCAAGCTGGTGAGGGGTCTGGAGAACAAGTCCTATGAGGAGAGGCTGAGGGAACTGGGCATGTTTAGTTTGGAGAAGAGGAGGCTGAGGGGAGACCTCATTGCCCTCTACAACTCCCTGAAAGGAGGGTGTAGAGAGGCAGGTGTTGGCCTCTTCTCCCAAAGGACGAACGACAAGACCAGAGGAAATGGTCTGAAGTTGGGGCAGGGGAGATTTAAATTAGATATTAGAAAGAACTACTTTACTGAGAGAGTGGTCAGGCCCTGGAACAGCCTGCCCAGGGAGGTGGTGGAGTCACCATCCCTGGAGGGATTTAAGAAACGTATAGACATGGCTCTTCAGGGCATGCTCTAGTGCCCAAGGTTATTGGTTTATGGTGAGGTGTTGAGTGTGGGGTTTAGTTGGTGGGTGCGGTGTTTTTGGTGGGCGTTTGGTGTGGTGTGTTTTGTATTTGTTTGGTTTGGGTTTTTTTTGTTGTTTTTTTTTTTTGTGGTTGGACTCGATGATCTCAGAGGTCCCTTCCAACCACTAAGATTCTGTGATTCTGTGATTGTTGAGGCACAGACATAAATCAAGATTGTGGAAACACGGTGTGTGAGCCGAGGAGGAGCGATGCAGTTCCAAAAGTGCATTTAGGCTTTGTAATTCATGGCCCTTCCCTTATCTTTTCGTGGGGAAGAAAAGTCCTTTGTTGTCAACACAAACGTAGGTGCTTGTGTCAAACGTGCAGCGGTTGTGGAGTGCAGAGTGTCAAACTGGCTTTGGTGAACAGAGAGAAGAAAATGTGACCGCGTGGGGAGAAAGATGCTTGTTTTAGTCTCACAAAAAGTTAGATTTGAGAGGGGACTACGTGGGTGTTTTATGTGAGATTGGAGATCAAGAAGGGGAGACTTTCCCAAAAGAAGGCATCAGACATCCCAAATTAGTGGATTAAACTACAACAATTCCTGCATTGCTGCCCTTCATTAAAGTTATCGTGAGACACGAAGGCAGGATAAGAGGGAAGCAGAACTGCGAGATCAGTTTATTGAGGGAGGTTGTAATCACGGGGCCTTTCCCACGAAAGCCATTGGCCAGAGCAAAGGAGCGGAGCTGAAGTGTGACTTCACCATCCTCTACTATCTCTTTTATAAGATCATTACATTTTTCCCTCCTGTTTTTTGTTGTTGTGGGAGGAACGAAGGGGTCTTTGTGCTGGAGAACAGCTCTTCAATATTTCGCTGCTAATAAAGCATCTGACATTTCCCCTGCTAAATGAAATCACCTTCCTCACCCCTTGTCCCCCCAAAAAGTGAAGGTCCCTCATCTGTGAATCCATAAAAATGCATCTCCTTCCTTTTACAGACACAGAACATCGCCCCGCTATGAAATACCTGCCCCCACCTGCCAAGAGGCCCCGGGCTGAAGGTAAGACCAGAAATATGCACCAGTTGCCTCTTGGATAAAACCAAACCATTTTATACTACTAAAATAGATTGAAGAAAACTATAACTCTGTGTCCTGTGTCAGAGCCATCAAAATGGGATAAGTAAACCTTTGGGTGACATCACGATCCCAGGTAATTAGGAAGAAAAGGCCAGGTGGGTCCACGTGGTGCTTGGGGAATGTGGTAGATCACCTTTCTTCTCCACAGTTCCTGTGTGCGTGCCTGGATGACCTGTCCTTGTCTGACGTGGCACCTAGGGTAGAGAAGTAATTAATACCAGCTCTTTAGTAGCCCTTTTCAGGTGTAGATCTCAAAGCAGATGAGTTTCATGATGTTTTATAAAGGGGGTAAAGGCTGTTGCCCCACAGCTGAGTGACAAAAATCAGAGCAGAATGCACATTTCCTCAGTCTCAGACAGGGGCTCTGTTCTTTGTGTTGCAGTTGCTGCCCCGGTCACCACACACTTCACAGATCCTAGAAATTCTTTCAAATAACCCAAATGCTAATGAAAAATTTGGTACTGCGAGGATGTGAGCTAAAAAGTGATGAGGCAAGGACCTCAGAGCTGGTTCCACATTATTTAGGTATTCTTGTTAGCCCAGAAAATAAAAAGAAAGAGAAAAAGGTCTCATTCAAAGATAAGAACTCTTTGGGTAGATACCTTCCAGATACATCACTCTGGGAAGTCGAGATATGTGTATTTCAGAGAGTAATAAATACAAATGGCAATGATTTTGTTTTGACCAACATCTTAGTTTTCTTTTAGCTGCCTTGCGTGTAGGTGAAACTTGCCAGTCACTGGAGAAGGAAGCCCTTTATCACCCTGGTGCAAACGTCTCATTGTGCCCCAGTCCCAGATAAGCTCTCAGTTCACGTGTGCCTTCGAGCGCCTTAAATTTTCTTCACCTCTCCAGGTCACTGCAGGTTGGACATGAGACTGAAGGAAACATTTTTATGTAGGCTGTTGTCATAAGCCCCAGTTCACTTGCACCAGACTCCTTTTATACTGCTCTGCTCTTATGAAGAACCGCTGAAGCGACCGTCCCTGGCTCCTTGGGGAATGGCAGTGAGGTTTTATCGGCAGGAAAGGGCTGAGCAGCAGATCTGGGCTCAGTAGGGGTGCAGTCAGAAGACACAGTCCTTCTCTGCTGCCAAGGGCACAAGAGAGGACATTAAACAAAACCCTGAACTTCTGGGGCTTATACTGGAGATGAAGCAGCGTCTGATTTGACTGTGAAATGTTGGGAGCACAAAGGAAGCTTAAAAACTACCTTTAGTCACTCACTTGCTGCCTAAAATACACTAAAATACAATATACAGGGGTTGACCCTGGCTGGACACTGGGTGCCCACCAAAGCTCTCCCCTTCCTTGGCTCCACCAATTACTGTCATGGGCAAAACAGACCTGACTTGGGGAAATAATTTAATTTATTTCCAATCAAATCCGAATAGGATAACGAGAAATAAAAATTATTCTTCAAAACACCTTTTCCTTGCCCATCCCTTCTTCCCAGGCTCAACTTCCTAGTGATGTCGGCTGCATTATCTAGAGATGATGGCAACTTTTTCTAATTATTGTCCCAGAACATGCGTTCTGCTTACTCAAATCAATCTGTTTTTCTAATTTAGCAGGGCAGAGCCAACGATGCCACACAGAATCCCTGTTTTCCTACTTGCAAGCAGGTGAGAGAAGAGCAAATAGAAAAATGGGGTTTGATAAGGACTTTGTAGAACTTAGTCTTCTAGATGGACCAGCCAAAAATAAGCAAAAGGGACATATATATTTCCTGGGGCTTGAATACAGGTGGTGATGTACATCCTCTTTTCTAAACATGCTGGAAGATCTGATATTTGCTTCTCTTGAATTTACACTTATTTTAAGCCTCACATATATCTAAAGTATTATATATAAATAGTATATAAAATAATCAGTATTGTGATTGTTACACTATGAAATCAGAACCCACGTAACAATTTTTTGGGGGTAAAAACCATTGGCCATGAGGAAGGGATCTAAAAATACTACAAAGCAGAAATACACCAGGCAATTTGGGCAAACCCAGAAAGGCCACAAAGGAGTTGGAACTGGAGATGGAAATGGGGAGTGTTTGAGGGCTGCCAAGCAGGCACCGCCGGTTATTCACCATCCGTGGAGTCTGTTCTGTTGACAGACAGCAGGATTTTCTCCCACTGTTGTCACTTATAATCCCTGGGGAGAGGAAACCAACCCGAGGTGACAAGGTGTCCCCACCTGTTTTCAACACTTGCCTTTGGCCGGACCAAGGTGTGGCAAAGTGACAAATCCCTCCTGAAGTGTCTAAAGTAGATAAATATGCAGCGTGTAGTGATTCACGCAGCACAAGAAGGAGACTGTTTGCCCAGAAACAGAGCAGATGGTGAGTAAAACATCTTGAGGACATCGAACGTTTATGTAAGTGGGGAGCGGAGATTGCCGTGGTGCGTGTTGTGAGCGGCTGAGGGGACGCTCCCGCGCTTGCAGGCTGTTGCTATGGCATTTCAACCTTTCCCTTCAAGAATGAGGTGTAAAAAAAAATAGCAGATCTTTAAGGAGAGGGCTCCCTACACGATAAGGGTTAAATTTCCTTTTTTGATCCCCCGTTTCTCTGCCGTGAATCAGCACCGTGCTCCTCGCTGTTGGAGACCGACGCGGTGCCTTCCGTTCTACGTAGCACCGTTGACGCTTCGTGGCATTGACATCTGTATGATTAGCAGTGGGGTGTAGAGGAAACACAAAAATGACGTTTTCTGTAGCCAAACAAATAATCACGGATCCATTTCAGCAGCCTTGCAGTGCTCCTACCTCATGCTCATTGGCAGGGGTAGGCACCAGCAGGTAACTGGTTCCCACACCACACTTGCCAATAAATCTTCGAAAGATGTTATTAGGCTCAAATCTTAACTATACTCTTAGTAATAAGGTACTTTAGGAAAACTAATAATTTGAAAATGCTGTCATTTAAAAAGGAAATGTATGTATTTTCTGCCTTTTAATCCATTTTGTCTCACCAGACAGCGAAACTCTCGTGCTCTGCCTTGTTTTCTCTTCCTCGGGGCTGGCGGCTCAGCTGGGAGAGCTTTGTCAGGAGCAAGAAGTTTGTGCTGAACTTTCAGTTCTAGTAAACACAATTCTAGTCATAATGGGTTTATCACGTTAATTGGGACCTGTCATACTCGTCAGCGCGTCCCTGAAACATAGCTCTAACTGATAAACTCGGAGGAAGAAGATCTTAGTGGGTGCCTTAAGGATTATAGCACATAATCGCTACAGTTCAAAAGAAAAATGTAAAAGGGAATATTTTATCTCTCTTAAAAAATTAATATATAATATAAAGGATTGACTCCTACCAACCTGCCAGATAAACTTTTTGGACTCCGAGCAGATTTCTTGCCAAAAAAAATAATCTACAAGCCTAGACTGTTTTAGATATATTTTTAAACAAAAAAAATCAAACAAAACAAAATCCTGTACGCACAGGTTTTTTAGCAGACTTGTTTTGTTGAAATTTTCATGAACTTCACGCCAGCTTTTAGGCAACCCCCTTCTACAGATGTCTGTCCAGGCTGGTAAACAAACACCGCTGGGTGTTTTACCTGGGTTTTTAGGAGCAGCTTTGGGTTTCAGTGAATGTGCTTTGTTACAGGAGCCCAGATCCTTTGCACGGTGCTGCTGATCAAACCCGGCGCCTGGAGTCATAGTTTTGCGAGGATCCTCCGGAAACTTGACCTAGAAAAATTCCGTGTGGTTGGGATGAAACACATCAACCTGGAAGCAGACGTTGCCTTAGGGCTCCTTTCTTCTGAAGTGAAGCAGGTTTGTTAAGAAACTGGCAGTTCTGTGGCTGCACTTAAGGTTTAGCGTGGGGAAATCTGTTAGCTAGTGAATAATCCATTCCTGGAAAAACACAGCAATCCCCACCCGGGCTTTGTGAGCAGTTGTTAGAAGTGAGCTATATAGAACAATCCCATCTGCAGCCCTCTCAGACACAAAGAAAGCTGATGTGCTGGCGGTTCCTTTTATCATATGCCATAAAGAAGCAGACCTGGTTTCTCTAAAAACAAAACTTTGGAGGATACGGGCAAGACAGACCTCCCAGGAACCAGTTTAGTTGCTGATTTACGATGCTGACTGGTTTACTGCAAAACTGGGGTCCTCTCTGGCTTCCCAAGGTCACTGGAGGTAGGGCACATTCCAGGAGCACCCCCTGCACGTGTGCCTGGGTTCCCTTCTTACATGGTTAAACCTGGGAGCTGGAAAACATCCCTTGCACTGTCAGAGAATACACCTTATATTATATTCCAGGTACAGCTCAGTCTCTGTTCCAGGAGTCTGTAAAAACGACCTGCAAAGAGAGAAAATGAAAGCTAATGTCATTTCTAATGTTTAACAGACAAGGAAGAGGGTTCTTAAATCTTGGGGTGTTAGCTAAAAAGAGATTTGTGTTTCTGCTCTTTTATAGCATAAGAAATTCTTTTTTTCCCAATCTGAAATACCCTGAGATGAGTGTAAGGATACTGTGAAAGCCAGGAGACTGAAAGCTGAGCATTTTAGAGGAGCTAGGTTTCCTTTTCTTTTTTTTTTTTTCCTCTTGGCATGAGAAAGAAATCCTCGTTATTTGATTGCTTTCCTGAAGACATTTAACCAATTACCTTTTACAGAAAACAAGCCTTCATAATTGGTATTACTCTTGGTTTAAGTTGGGTGAGTTTATTGCACTCTCCTGTAGAAATTCTTGATAGAGTCTTCCAGAAGAAGACAGGAACATTCCAGGCCAGTGCTCTATCATAACCATCAATCAGGAACAATTAATACCTTCTGCATGATGGCAAAATAACGGAGGAAAAACATTTGATTTTTAAATATTTACAGACCACTGGTCAGAGGGATATAGGGGTATTGGAGTTGATGGGGAAGCCCTTTCCAATATGTGTTGTGGCTGCCCCATCCCTGGAGGGGTTGAAGGGCAGGTTGGAGGGGGCTTGGAGCAACGTGGTGTGGTGGGAGGTGTCCCTGCCCAGGGCAGGGGGTGGCACTGGGAGGGCTTTATGGTCCCTTCCAACCCAAACCATTCTGTGAATATGGTTTTTAATCATACAGCTAAATACAAAAAAGTTTAGTTGATCATCTGAAACAGAAAACATTTTTAAAAAAATCCAAATGTCTGCCTCGGGAAGTGATGTAGGTATAAGCGGGGAAAATTTGAAAGAGAGGTTTTATTCCATGACTTTTTTTTTTTTCTGACTTGTTTTTGGAGTCCTCTAACACACTAGAGCAGCTGTTGAGCATTGATTTAGTTTCCTTGAAGAGCTGGTGACTAATGAGTTTAAAAATTACAGACTGTTGGGTTTTTGTTCGTGGACAAAAAAAAAAAGAAAATCAGGTTTTGAAAGTGAGAAAGCAGAGATAATGGAGTGCCTTTGGCAAGGGGGAAGGGACAGTGGGAAATGCTTTCTGCTGTATGGGGGCTCCTTCTCGTTTTTAGAAGACATCTGAGAGCCTCTCTCTGCTGAGGGCTGGAAAAGGCTGAGCTCCCAGGATAAGTAGGTAGATTTTCAAAAAGCCTCAGTGTGCTTCAGGGACCAGCTTAGTTGGAAAATCTGGCTTGTAAGTGTTACAATGGCAGCTGGTGGAGGCAGAACTATTTTTCACAGCTGAATTTTTCTTATCAAGCATTTGAATTGGAGCGATGTTCGCTGTCGATCTGTTTCTCAGTTTAGGGGACAAAGGGTTACAGTGCTGTCTTTGAAATGACTCTTAATATGGGGGGAAATCACTGAAATTTAGCATCTCCTTTTGAAGAAGATGGAGCCAGTGTCTCTGACCATTCTAGAAATTTTGTCCAGTTTTTTTATCTCCCCCTCACCTGCAGCCTGATCCAAACTCCATCTCCAAAATTCTCTAGAAAACCCCCACGTGCCCTGGGATACGGCAGTTTTGTGCACGTAGTATTTGACAGCAGGTTTGGGGTTTATTTTGGTCCATCTCCTTCCTCTTTCAAATGTATTATTTACATGCCCATCGACAAAAATCCTCAGCAACATGATTTCAGACATGATTGCTTTTTCAGCTTAAATACTAATGTTCAGCTTCTAAGTAGCTTTTGGCCTTTGGCATCCAATGAGTGATGGATTGCTCTGCTGTTTGCTGAGGTTATCAAATCACGGGAGCGTGATAATACTTTTTATCTGAAGTCTAATAATAATTAAAAAAAAAAAAAAAGGCCAGGTAAATAGAGCTATAGAGCTGACATTATTTTCTCAGCTCTTAGCATGACCTGATGGTGTTCAGACTGTGGGAAGCAACTGCTCCCGGAGGGAATTCTGCCCTTTATCTCCTTTCCATGCTTATCCAGCAGATCCAGCCCTGCAGAGATGCGCACTTTTGGCTGTTATCTACAAACCCTGATTTTTAGAGTGGGATCTGATTGTTGTGTTGGGCATTACCTGATAGGATCACCTGCAGTGGCAGGTCGCTGCGCTCAGTAACTCGACGGATTCCCTCCAGTCCTACCTTTCACTGAATTTCACTGAATTTTTAGAGGTGGAAGGGACCATAGAGATCATCTAGTCCAACTCCCCTGCTGAAGCAGGATTGCCTAGAGCTTGTCAGAGCATGTTACTCAGGAGCATCCAGGCGGGGCTTGAAAATCTCCAAGGAAGGGGACTCCACACCCTCCCTGGGCAGCCTGTTCCAGGGCTCCGTCACCCTCCCCCTGAAAAAGTTCTTCCTCATATTCAAGGGGAACCCGTTATGTTCCAACTAGTGCCCATTGCCCCTTGTCGTCTCATGGCAACTACTGAAAAGAGCCTGGTTCCCTCCTCCCTCAGCCCGCCCTTGAGATACTTGTAGGCATTAATGAGGTCTCCCCTCAGCCTTCTCTTCTCCAGACTAAAGAGTCCCAGCTCTTTCAGCCTCTCCTCATAAGGGAGATGCTCCAGTCCTTGAATCATCTTTGTTGCCCTTCGCTGGACTCTCTCCAGCAGTTCCCTGTCCCTCTTGAACTGGGGAGCCCAGAACTGGATGCAGGATTCCAGTTGTGGCCTCCCCAGTGCAGAGCAGAGGGGGAGAATGACCTCCCTTGACTTGCTGGCCACATTTTTCCCCATGCAGCCCAGGATTCCGTTGGCCTCCTGGCCACAAGAGCACCCTGCTTGCTCATTGTCATTTTGCTGTCCACCATCCTTGTGATTCTAACAGTGGAGGCAGAAGGAGAATTTTGCCGCTTTTTAATCCCGTTCAATCCTGGGGAGCCAGCTCACAGCTGGAACTTCCTCTCCCTGCGCATCAGTGGAATCGCTCGCCGCGTCCCAGCCAGCCCCACGTGTGCCATCGCCGCAGCCGCGCGGGGACCGGCGAGGACGGGGTCTGAGGAGGGAGCGGAGGCGGGATGGAAACCAAGGCGTCGTTTGGCGGCGGAGCCCAGAGTGGATGTGAGGATCCAGCAGAAGAAGGAGAGAAGTCACCTTGACTCACTGACACTGTCGGCAGCAATTAGAAACCACCTCGGCTCTAACCCACGGCCGGCAGCGAACGACTGAAAGACAGGAAACGGAGACAAAAGAGTTCTGTTGTGTGGATCAAAAAGTGCTGTTTAGAAGCTCTAGAACAAAGCAATTTCATTTATCCTGGTCTATTTAACAGAAACTATGTCTTTCAACATTTTTCTTTTGCACTGGTGAGGCTACACCTCGAGTATTGTGTCCAGTTTTGGGCACCTCAATCCAAGAGAGATCTGGAGGTGCTGGAGCGAGTGCAGAGGAGGCAACGAAGCTGGTGAGGGGGCTGGAAAACAAATCGTATGAGGAGCGGCTGAAGGAGCTGGGGCTGTTTAGTGTGAGGAAGAGGAGGCTGAGGGGAGACCTCATCACTCTCTACAACTACGTGAAAGGACACTGTAGAGAGGTTGGTGCTGGTCTCTTCTCACAGGTAATTAACAATAGAACGAGAGGGAACGGCTTCAAGCTCCAACAGGGGAGGTTTAGACTGAACATTAGGAAGGAATTTTTCACCCAAAGAGTGGTCGGGCATTGGAACAGGCTGCCCAGGGAGGGGGTGGAGTCACCATCCCTGGCTGTGTTTAAGGGCCGTTTAGATGCAGTGCTGAGGGACATGGTGTAGGGGAGGACTTTGTAGAGTAGGGGAGATGGTTGGACTCGATGATCCCAAGGGTCTCTTCCAACCTAGACCGTTCTATGATTCTATGTTTCTGACATGGATGGATGTCGATATGTTAAGTCCAGTCCTTTTGAAAGTTTTTGTGAAGTTGTCATTGCTGTTTGTCATCTCCCAAAGAGAAGACCCTTAGAAAAGTGGATTATATACATTTTTTTGACATTACAAAAAATTTCAAGCCAAAAGGTTTTATTTTCTATTATACAGAACCCAACAAATGTCAGAATTTTGCAGTGAAATGCTTCATCCTCATCTAAACAGAGCCCTTACCACAGGCTGTGACTGGCATCCCAGCGCTTCCTGTGCCCTCTGGGATGGGAGGATGGATAAATATCACACCTTGTATCAAATCTCTCCTCTAACTGACCAATTTAAGAACGGGGGAGAGCTTTCTTGTGGAATTTCAAATACAGGGGAGAATATCAGGATGGAGCCTGAGGTTTTCAGTTTATAGCCTGCTTCTCAGGAGTGCAGTTTTGGAGGAATGCAAGTGAGAAGATTTGGGTCAAAGTCACTGAATGGTTTCGTATGATAGAAAAACAGAAGAGGCCTTGAAGTATTTTATCTCCATATTTTTAAATGAAGTGATCGGATTTTCTTTTGGAAATGTTTTATCTAGTGAATTGCCATACCCTGGTGCTTTTAGAAGATAAAAAAATAGAGAAAATAAAACCTTTAGGGGGCTGAACGACGTGACTCAGCTGAATCAAATGCTGGTTTTCCCCCTTGTTTTCGTTTCCTCCAAAATTGGGGGGGTGTGTGTGGAATAAATAACCATGGGTTGGTTCAATCAGTGAGCTGGAAATGCTGCTGTTGGTACTGTACAGACTGTCCAGTGCTGGCACAGAGCTTCTCAGCTGTTGCTGCCCCATGAAGTGCAGGGAGGCAGAGCTGGATGTTCCTGTCGCTTTATGAAGATGAATAGGGCAGGAGGAAGCAGCCTGAGGCTGCTGGGGGCACCCTGACCTCGTACTCAGCGGAGACTTCTCCAACAAGCCTGGCTTTCCAAGGTTTCACTTAATTAAAGCAGGCAGTGAGGCTGTGAGAGCTCTGCTGCCCCTCGGTACCCTCCTGCCCCAGGCACTCACCACCTTTCCCCGTGCTTTTCAGTCCTTCCGGCTGTCTCCAGCCCACAAATTGGACTCTCTGCCCTGGTGCAGTGGCTGCTGGTTGTCATTGCCACTCATCCTTCGTTAAAATAAAGATCCTGGGGTGCTGTGACCTGCAGAGCTACAGGAGGAACATCTCTGCTCAGGAGTGGTCACGGGTTGATCTGACAACACTTGGAAAAAGAAGCAAAAGTAGAGAAATCTGTCACGGAGACAACACATGAGTGGCAAAGGCAGGAGGGTGAACTGGCTTCTCTCAGCCCCCTGAACTGAGCCTCCTTGTTCTAAGCTCACTATTTCTGTGGTCCCGATCCTAACAAGTGTACAAAATTCTTCTGGGAGAAGCTGGGCTGCAGCAGCAGGGTGGGGGTGAAGGTCCTGCCTTTCCTGAACTCCAAAAGGAAAGTTGTGGTATTTGTAATCCATCTGATTAGATCAGCAGAGGAATTAAATGTGGCTCCTTATCCCAGAGCGTTTATGACCCTGTTGGTGCTGCTAAAGTCCATTGGTTCCACCCCATCCCTATGTCATGCCGAAGGACATTGCACGAATCAATGCGGCCTTTCAATACCTGAAGGTGCCTATAGAAGAGCTGGGGAGGGACTCTTTGCCAGGAAGGGTAATGATAGGACAAGGGGAAATGGTTTTAAATTGGAAGAAAAAAGATTCAGATTAGATCTCAGGAAGAAATTTTTTACTCTGAGGGTGGTGAGACCCTGGAACAGGTTGCCCAGGGAAGTTGTGGATGCCCCATCCCTGGAGGGGTTCAAGGCCAGGCTGGATGTGGCCTTGAACAACCTGCTCTAGTGGGAGGTGTCCCTGCCCAGGGCAGGGGGGTTGGAACTAGATGATCTTTAAGGTCCCTTCCAACCCTAACCATTCTATGATTCTATGAATCTAAAGTCCAGCAGCAAACTACAGAGAGGCAATTTGGTTTTGTCCTTAGCTCCCCCAAGAATGAATTCCACCTCCGGTACCTTGTGTGTGCAGATGTGCAGAACAAGACACAGCACGAGGCTTTTCTGTCTTTTAGAAATAGGATTTTATTTCCCTTCACACTATAAGAAGTTGGGAACTTACTGCTGCTGTTGTTTGTATGTGTAAAAACTACCGTTGGCTGATGTATGGCCATGGGGATGAAACCCACGAGCTGCTGTGCCTTAAACTCAGGGCTTAACTCTTTCTTCAGCTCTGTGTGGGCTCAGGGTGGGGACTGGACCTCCTGGTCCCTGCTGGATGGCACAGCAAATCCTGGCTTGGTGGCCAGTCTGGAATCTCTGCCTGCAGAGACCACATATATTATAAAGAGGAGAGGAAACAAGGAGTAACGGGAGATGTTTGCTTCAAAAAGGGACAGGTTTGACCAAAAGAACACTGGGATGTACCCAGCACTCACCAACACCGTTCATCACAACCTGTTCCATCTCTCTTCTTTCTTTTCAGGATCCTGCTGCTTTAGAAGCTCATTGTTCCTACCTTACCTCAGGCACCGCTCTCGTGCTGTGTCTTCAGAGACCCAATGCTGTGAAGAAGCTGATAGATTTACTGGGGCCAGAGGACCCTAAACTGGCCCAAGCACAAGATCCCTTCCTCTGGAGGGCCCAGTATGGCATCAGCACAGTCCAAAATGGATTTTACGGTAGGTTTTTGTAACAGAAAGGTCTGAAGGATTGGACATGCTAATGAAAAAAATATATTATGTACCGTTACCTCCTGTGTTGTCAGTAAAGTTCTAGCTTTGGCAGGCAGTAGAGACCATTATTCCCTAGAAAGCTTTCATTGTTTTCTTGGTGCCTGAGCTGAGTACATCTCAAGCTCTGAAATGTTCTCCCAGAAGATATATTTAAAAAAGGTTTCTTCCCAGAACAGCCCAGAACAGTCTTTCATCAGAACAGATTTCCTTTGATCTCTTCAATGCTTGGTCATTTTGTATTTTTAGCTTGGTTATTTTGTAATTATCCCCAAGAACCCATCTGTCTTCTGTCTGCTTGCGAGTCCCCCTCCTGGTAACTTCCTCACCCACTGGCCAACTGCAACCAGGTCTCACAGAGGGATAAAAGACTCCGAGATACTGAGTTCCTGGAACATCTCAAAACGTTATTGACTGGCTAGAGAGAGGGGATCAAAAATTGCTGTCACTGAGGAAAGCAGGTAAACTCAGCTGTTTTCCTTTCGGAGAGGCTCTTGCCAGCTGGCACATCAGCAGGGACACACCAGTTTGTCAGCGTCTTCGGTGTGCTGAACCTCAACCAGTCCCAGCTCGTCTGCCAGCGGGGAAGGAACTGGGATGTGGTGGTGTGTAGGGTGAGTGGGATGGGAGATAGCCGAGGGTGGGGGTGAAGGATGGGAAAAAATGGGAAGTATTGCTGGGGGAGACTGGCCTGTAGAGAACCAAGGGTGTTGCTGGAGGTTATTGCCATTAGGAGGGAAGGATAGAATTCAAAAATTCATGATGAACTAAATATCCTTAGTTCACTGCCCATGAAGAGTGGTTTTCCTCAGTGTGGTACTGATTGTGCTGTATGTGGGGAATAGAAAAATAACAAAGCAAGTTTCTATAGGCATGGGTGAGCCAGCAGGCACTGTATGCCTTCAGGTTCCAGTAGAGCTTTCCTGTCACCATCCATCGGATTATTTGGCTTTTTCTATTGCATTCTGTGCTGTGAAATCACTCCCTCTTTTCATCCAAATCAAGTGGTCTTCCAAGGAGAACTGGTAGGGAATGAAGGAGCCACCGTGTACAGCTTGGGGAAGAGAATCAGCCCCTTGATGTAGAATCTTTTTTTTTTTTGTGTCAGATACAATCATCATCTTTAGGACCAAGACTAAACCGAGAGATCTCTCACCATGATTACTCACAGCATCTCATCCGTGGGAGCGACTGAAGAGCAGCATCTACCTACACAAAAGAAATGGTCAGGGCTCTTCAGCCAATACTTTTCCACTATCAGTCTCTGCTGCTTTTGCTCGTAAGATTAATGGATTATGTATCCAGGTTGCCTTGAGAATGAGAACTCATCAGTCATGGCTACGAATGCATAAAATATACCCCAAACTTAAGATACCCATGGCATGGTTAGAGCATCTCTAGCTGCTCTGCCAGGGACGTGTCTGTCCTTAAGCAAAGGAGGGGTTGTAACCTCTTTGCACCTCCAAGAGCTTGTCCCCCATTAAGGGTGAAACATTTACCTACAAGTTAAGCAGGGGTCGTAACCTCTTTGCACCTCCAAGAGCTTGTCCCCCATTAAGGGTGAAACATTTACCTACAAGTTAAGCAGGAAGAGCTTAATCATTGCATGAGTAACCATCTGGGGGGCTGTGGAAGACCTGCTTCCTTTCCTAGGAGGAAATAAGTTTTCTCAGTTTTTCTCCAGCCGAGGAGGATTTCTAGTTGGAGCAGAGCAAACTGTAGCTGTGTGTTTCCTCCCAGAGAGACTGGGGAAATTAAAATAAGATGAAGACCAGGTTCTAGTGATACAGTTGAACCAAAAAAATGCAGTTTTAATACTCTGAGGCTCAGCTACAGAGGGGAACCTGCGCTCTCCCCATCTCTTCTGGGTCCTATGAAGTCATCGTACAGTGCTTTATCTTGAACCCAAAGAGCTCTTAAGCACGCATCTTAGACAGCCTTATACCTTGGGCAAAGGGAGAGTAAAAGATTGCTGGCTTTGGGAGTGTTTGTGTCCTCTGTAACAGCATCAATGATTTAAACACAGAAGATTTGACATAGAGGTACACAAAGAATCCAGCACAACTTCTGCTCCAGTGACTTACGCAATGTTGGGATCGTAAACTACTGCCTTAAGGACTTTGGCTGTACCATACCTAGAATTATGAAGTTCAAACAGGGCTGAGTGCTCTAAGAGCAGTAAGATATGATTCTTTCAATGGGTAGCCTGCAAAGCTGGTAATATTTCAGAGGATATTTGCGTTTTGTGTATTTGTGTCCCAGAAGTATGGATCTAGGCCAGCACGTTGACAATCTATCTGAACTCCGCTTATATAGAAATAGCTTTTCCTTCTCTAGCATTTTCCACCCACAAATCTCAAAACAATCTGAGTAATGCTTTATAACACTCTTGCTTTATAGGGAAATATTCCCATGTTAAGCCTGGAGGGACCTCTCAAGTCACTGAGCACCGTTCATTCTCTCATGGACAACCCCATCAATGTATTCCTTTCCGTAAGCATCCACCCCAGTTGGGTGGTTGTTACAGAACTTCACTGCTCGGATCACTAGATCCTGCTCGGATCACACTAGAAATCTTCTTACATTTTCAAACTTAAATATAGTCATATACAGATTGTATCCACTTGTTCTTGTGCCAGTACCTGTACTTTAATTTTAAGTAATTCTTTTTTCTTCTCTGACCTTTTCCACCCTGAGGTGTTTATCAGAAATCGGATTCCTTCTCAGCCTGGTGTCATGTTGGGTCAAACAAGTCAAGGTCTTTTAGTTTTAACTCTTTGGATGGTTCTCCATTCCTTCCGTGATCTCACGTTCTTTCTCTGTATCTGTTCCAGCCTCAATTTACCTCTCGTAACTGCAGGTGAGCAGAAAAATCTACTGCTAGCAGCAATGTCTCATGCTAATTCTGATTTCTGTTGTAAATCAGAGCCCCCAGCATATTCCAGACTTACGTTATTGTTATTAAGCACAGGTTTTTTACTAACTAGTAGCTGCTTCCCATTCAGTGAGACCAGCCCAATGTGATCCAGAAGCAGGAGAACAACAGGGGGTTGGAGTTTCACAGGCTCCTTCACACAATTCCCTTGACTGCACTGTTAGGAAATAGAAGGAGTCTTGTTTACATGAAGAACAAGCTGGGCGATAATAGGACAGAATCAAAATACCAAGAAGGCAATGGAACTATTCTAAATATAATGGTTTTAAATGTTTGCTATTACTGTACAGAACAGCTGGCCTTTAAAGCAATTACTTCAGTAAGTTGCACATCATCAATCTCTCAGAAAGAAGAGTGTGAGTCTAGAGAATGTTTAATTCATGGCCTGAGAGAATCTTCTCATTGTATTTATCTCTCAGGCTCCAAATCCTATCAAATAGCTGTCCGGGATATGAAGCTGTTTTTCCCAGAAGGGCTGTGCTGCGCTGAGTGTCAGACATTAGAGGAGGAAGAGGTAGGATTCTGCCCTTTCCTGAGAAGTTTCCTGCTCTGCCATCCCATGACTTCTTTCCTATTATGCTTTAGATAATGCTTTTTTGTTGTTGTTGTATTTCCCCAGCTGCTGAGTTTTCCTTCTCCTGTGGATGTTCCTACCACAATGTGTGAACTTTGTATTGACCCAGAGAGTCTGGGTGGAAAAGTGCTTTTACAGATATGTTTGTTCAGTGACCTGTGCTGGAAATTCAGGAGGGCTCAGGGCTCATGCTTTAGAGGCAAAGTTCCCAGTTAAAGTCAACACCGCTTTGGAAGCAGGTCACTGGGAGGGATGGCAGAATCACCCATGACTGCTGAGACACAGCTGGCCCAAAAGCTGGGTTTTTTAACCAGCTTGTTAAAGAGCGGGGCTGTCTCATGTAAGACACCTCATGCTTATAAAATACAGGCACTTTATAGAGCTGCTGGGTGCCTGCATCCTTCCCTGCCCACAGAGAGAGACATAAAGACTTGGATTCTTCTTGGCTTGCACAGTGCCGAGGAGGCTACCACTACTGGTGTGACCTGCTCCTGCTCATCTGGCCCTTCTCAGGATGTAGCTGCTGGTCTCCCATTCAAACCACTGTAATTTGCTAATGGCTAAAACAAAACAATGAGTTTTTCCTGTTGAACTAGCTTTGGATGTCATCCCTGGAAGGGTTCAAGCCCAGGCTGGACAGGGCTTTGAGGAACCTGCTCTAGTGGGAGGTGTCCCTGCCCATGGCAGGGGGATGGAACTTGATGACCTTTAAGGTCCCCTTCCAACCCAAACCATTCTGTGATTCCTTTTCTTGTCAAAATCAGAGTTTGAAATGATTGGGTTATGCCCAATGACGGGATGGCAATTTTTGAGCCTTGCTATGTCCACATGTCACAGAGGTGACCCAGCTGAGGTAGTCCAAGGAGATTAGCTCTGGAGCTGGAAGCAGCTGGCCACATCTGTAATATGCTTCATTAATGTGAATGTCCTCCCTCTGCAGCTCAGTCCCAGGCTGTGCTGGGATGCAGGGATGTGATGGATGGATGGTGAATGATGAACAGAATGGAGCCGCTACACACCAGTGTGGCAAGGGATAAAGTTGCCAGACACTCACAGTCCTTGAGTTTCTGGCCTTGAAAAGCTGGGAGCAGAAAGATGTTCTGGATGTAGGCCCTTTAAAAGGATGACAAGACGCTGTACTGAAGCCTCCATAAAAAAAGAACACCTGCAAAATGCTCTTGTATCTCTAGCCAAGCAGGTGTTTTCTAGGCTGGTAATTACACACCACCAACAAAAGCCTCCCAGCTTTCCCAAATCAATACTGAAGAAGCCTTATCCTTCCTGATTAGGCCATGGCGTTCACATGGCTTGTTTTTTCTCTCCCTCCCTCCCCTCCCCTCCTGCAGATCTATAACTTGCAGCGTGACCCCATCGTTGGTTTGGAAATCAACGGGCAGCGCAGGATCATAAAACGTGGGCCGGGAGGGCGACGCCGTTCGCTGGGCTCCGAGCAGCCACACAGCCTGGGTAAGGAAAGGCCTAACCCAACCCTGGTATAGATCCTGGCTGGTATTGATTAATTGGACAGCGAGACGAACCATCTGGTGGCAGCAAGATTTGGTATCGATGTCCTTTCAGAAGGGAGAGACAACTCTGAGCTGCAAAGAACAGCTCTGGTGGAGTCCAGGCGTTTAACTCGTTACCTCCCAGGCCTTTCCACCCTTCCCAGCCCTTAAATATAGGGCTGTTGAGAAGTGCTGACCTCGGCACCAGCAGAAGAACGAGCACTGTCAACAGCCAGTGTAAGCAATGGTGCATGTTTCTCTGCTGGGCTTTCACAATGTGTGTCACCACCATCTTGGCCGCGGTGGTGTACGTGTCCATTCAGAGGCCAAGACATCGTAGTGATGGGCAATTGCGAGACGTTTTGTTCTGTGAGTAGATAAATAACAATTTATGCCGGGAGTGCTTTTGGCTCCAGTGTGGCCACCTAACTCTCAGGAACAGGCTGGAGATCTCATTCAGTTCCCACCAGCTGCTGAAGAGCTGCCAGCTCAAAATGACTTCCAGTTATGGCTGGCTGGAATTTGGTTTGAAATCAAAGCCTGTCAGTCCCCTCAGGTGCCTCCAGTTTCTCTGGGCCTTTTTTATTGATTTCACTTGACACACATGTGTGCGACACAGGCTGTGATGCAGCACCACTTATCTCAGGAGATGGGGCTGCTTCCACGTTGGGATGCTGTGGATTGATGCCAAGCCTTTATAAACAAGCAGTAATGCATCCCCGTGGTGGTCACTGGGGAGCAGACGTGTTTGGAACTGGGTCATTCTCCTTCCTGGAGCTTGAGTTGGCAAGCAGCGGGGTGGGCAGCTGAGAAAACGTTCCTGCACCACACCTGATGGCTGTGGTTGTTAATGCCAGCAGTAAAACCACAGGATCCTGGTGGACTGGCAAAAGACTGTGATAAAAATGCTAGAGGATTACAGGCTGTCGCCTCCCACCTCAAACCTTTACAGATACAGGGCTTTTGGGCATTGACCCCGTACCAGCAGCTGCAGGAGAGCACACGTATGAGTGCAAGGAGGATGGTGGCAAGTCAAGGTCTTCACCTTAATGACAGCTGCTTGGTAGGCACCAAGGCACTTTTGTGTAGGAGGAGGATTTTTCCCAAGGTAATTGATTATCAATGAATTCTTTCCACTGTCTTATGCTGGCTTTGGGCTATGCTCTACAGAATGACAGAGTGATGTGGGGTTGGAAGGGACCTCTGGAGATCATCCAGTCCAACTCCCTGCCAGAGCAGGGTCACCCAGAGCAGGTCCCACAGGAACGTGTCCAGGTGGGGTTTGAATGTCTCCAGAGAAGGAGACTCCACCACCTCTCTGGGCAGCCTCTTCCAGGGCTCTGCCACCCTCACAGCAAAGAAGTTCCTCCTCATGTTGAGATGGAACTTCCTGTGTTCAAGTTTGTGCCCGTTCCCTCTTGTCCTGTCCCTGGGCACCACTGAAAAAAGCCTGGCCCCATCCTCCTGACACCCACCCTTGAAGTATTTATAAGCATTGATCAGATCCCCCCTCAGTCTTCTCTTCTCCAGACTAAACAGACCCAAGTCCCTCAGCCTTTCCGCACCAGAGAGATGTTCTTGTCCCATCATCATCTTTGTAGCCCTTTTCTGTGCTCTCCCCAGCAGTTCCCTGTCCTTCTGGAACTGGGGAGCCCAGAACTGGAGCCAGTGCTCCAGATGGGGCCTCCCCAGGACAGAGTAGAGGCTGCTTCATGATCGTTACAAAAATCACAAATCCTCAAAGGTGAGCTCTGTGTCTTTCGTTGCACACTCGTACATCGGAGACTGGCTGCAGGAAGGTTTAAGACGTGGCTGATGCCTGTGGTGAGGATGAGACCCATCTGGTGACATCCCTGGTGTTCCCAAGCTGTTGTAGGAGTCCTGAAACAAGAGCTTGGCAACCACGTGTCTGTGGCAGCAGCTCTTTGGAGATGACCGGGCAGTTCTGCCTGTGGCTGTCTGACCTTCTCCTCTGGGAGAAGTGATCACATCGTGGTGTTTCTGGTGGGGTATGTTGGCTCTAGCTGTGCTCAGAGCACAAAGCTGTGGTGAGAGGAGACTCCCAGGTGTTCCCAGTCCAAAATATCCTGGGTTGCTATTGCTGAAAGGCAGGGTGTTCTCCCCCATTGGCTTATTGCATGATGGGGAAGGATCAGGCCTCTAGCACAGGTCTGCTGCGACCGAAATCCTTCTTGATTTTTTGAACAGATTGCAGAAATTAAAATAAAATGAAATAAAATAAAATGCTTGTTGTGGAGAGAGTATGGGTATTCTGCAAGCTTTGCACAGCACAGCGTTGGGAGCAAATCTCAAAACATGTGCCCCTGATTTCCTGCTGCACGAGGATCTCTTTGCTTTGAAGATGTTTAAGCAGAGTAAAAAGGAAACCAGTGTACATCCCTGACGTGTTTGCGTCTCAGAAAATGTATTTCAAAGAGTTACTGTCCTGGAAAAGCAAGTACACGTGATCTCTGATCTGTCAGGCACAATGTAGTAAGCGCCTCCGGCAAACCAGAGCCATCCCTCACTTTAGGGTCTCCTCTCGAACACTAGAGGTAGCTCTTGCACACAAAGAAACCTCTCCTTTCGGCAAATAATTATCACAAAGCTGCTGCTTAATGGACAGACAGATTTATTATGAGGAAAATATAAAATACATTAAGTCTTATGTATGCTGATCAGAATTACATTTCGGATTATAAAAGCGGCTGGATTAACAGCTTTCTTTGCCTGGAAGAAATTAAAAGGGAATAGCATCTCCTGTAGCAAACCAGTTGTCCTTGTCTGACTCCTGAAATGGGGTCACTACTGCTGTCTTGTGATCTCCAGATACACACAGGGAGACGTGCAGGGGTTTGACAGCTCAGGACGAGCCATCGCGTCTGCGAACATCCCAAACCGTAGAGCGATGCCTCCCGTCCCCTGGTTACTTGTCTGTGTCAGGGAAGAATTGCTGGGAGGGTTAACAGTTGGGGGGGGGGGTAAGATATCAAACAAGCATCTGTTGTGTTTTGATCTTTCCCCATCAGATCGGCCGTTGGTTGATACCCTCTGCCAAACCACTTGCCTGGTGCTGCCGGGGATAATTCTTCGGGGTTCTGAGCACCCACCTTACGTCGAGCTGCTCGATGGGCTTATTGGCAGAGATTTCACGGTGACCGGAGCGCGCCTGACCGTCCTGGATGCCCCCCAGGCTCACTGCGTCTCCGAGACACTGAGCAGGGCAAAGTGCAGCGTCGCAGCAAAGGTACGAAACGCCTGGAGTCGTGCTTTGCTTCCTTTGCAGAAAAGAGGAGCCTTTTCATGCCACGCTGTGCTGAGATACCTGAGCCAGCTCTGAGCAGGCTGGCTTTGGTAGCAGCATTACCAAAGGGGATCGAATGCACCCTCAGTAAGTTTGCAGATGACACCAAACTAGGTGGGAGTGTTGATCTGCTTGAGGGTCGGAGGCTCTACAGAGGGACCTGGACAGACTGGATCAATGGGCCAAGGACAACGGGATGAGGTTCAATAAGGCCAAGTGCCAGGTCCTGCATTTTGGTCACAACAACCCCAGGCAACGCTACAGGCTGGGGGCAGAGTGGCTGGAGCTGCCCGGAAGAAAAGGACCTGGGGGTGTTGGTGGACAGCAGGCTTAACATGAGCCAGCAGTGTGCCCAGGTGGCCAAGA